AATGAGAAATAAAATCCCTCGTACTTTCCTAGTTTGCAAGGAAAAACTTAAAATTCCCAGCATTATCCCAGTGATTTTTTTAATTTCCTGTATATTTCAGGTTTTCCCTGTTGGAGTGTCAACTCTGTTATATTTTAGAAAATATTTGAAAAAAGAAATTTTTAAGTGAAATTTCTTTTCTCCACAAATTACTCTATTTTCAATAACTCTAATAAATAAATAACCATGTTCGAGTCAAGTCTTTACAAGAAATAATAAAATTAAATTTGTTTATTTTCAACATAAAGGTCTGCATATTGCTTAAGTAAATATAAAATTGGTTGTTTACTAGGTTTCTTGCAAGATTTTGTTTGATTTTAGCCCCAAAACTACATTATTCCTTGATCCCCCCCCTCCTCGAAAAGCAAATTCCCTGACAATTTTGGGTACTCCAGGCTTCCCTGACATGGTGGAGAAATCCTGCTAACTTTGCTCAATACATCTCTTAACTACATTATAAAGCTAGAAATACAAGTAGTAATTTATTTTTTTTAATTATAATTTTACAGTGTTGAGCATAATCTTGTATGTCTTTACAATTTAAAAACTCCTTGAAAAAGTTTTTTTTTTTTTTGCAATAACGCACCCTATTTGCACAAATTCAGAAAAGCGGACCCTGGTTGAAAGAATGCGAGTAATTTTTTCAAAATTTCACGAAAAACGGACCTTTCACAAAATGTCTGGACAGACCCCTGCTTGTGTGAGCTATAGTGGGCTAACTATATTTATCAGTTTTAATTGCTGGAAAAACTTAGAGGAACAGCTGAACATACTCACAACAAATAATGCTACAGTAAATAAAATAGTTTAGTATAGTTTGAATCATCATCATCGTTGGTCAGACAGCCCAATGCCCTCCTCTGAAGAATTCTCCAAAATGACTCACAATTTATTTTTGATCTCCAATTCTTTTCATTAATTACAAGAAAATCAGATTCCACCAAGTCAGTCCATCTCAATCGCGGCCTTCTTTCTTGTCCCAGTGGGTTTAAAAAGCAGCATCTTTTTTATTGTATTGTCATCACTCATTCGAATCATGTGGGGCATCCAATTCATTCTATTTATTTTTAGGTATTTAATAATATCGGGTTGTTTATAAATCTTTTACTGTTCAATGTTAAATCTCCTTCTCCAGTTATTGTTTTCATTTACACCACCAAGTATACTCCACAAAATCTCTCTCTCAAATATTGGGATACAATTTTCCTCCATTTTTGTCCAAGCCTCTGAAGCGTAAACTTTGTTTTTCTAGAAAGAAACCTAGATTTAATTAATCTTCTAAATCAGGGTTTCTTAACCTGTGGTTCATGAACCCCTAAGGGGTCCATGAGTTATATTTTGGGGGTCCGCTGACTACTCCTAATTTTTAAAACGTTTGGAAGCCTACCCATTGCTTGTAAAGCGAGTTATGGCAGCTATAATTCCGTTTTCTACAGTGTATCGTTGCGAAGCGGGATTTTCCACAATGGACAATTACAGTCAAATTTTTTTTTAATTTTAATGCATTCAGAATCCCTCAAAACTCCCAGAAAACATTTCATTACTTTTCTAAGAAAACTATTTATTTAGTTATTTTCAATCAAAAAACGCTTACTTTCGTTTTCGCCTGAAACGGGGAGTCACGTGATTATTCACGAACTGACGTCACACGTGTCCATCTGCCGTTCACTTACAATAGCTGTGCTGTGAAAACCAATACGTTCTTGCTTTCGTTTAAATTTTCTAATTAAATCCAACCATTTTAGATGGTCTAAAGCTATCTGTATAAAAAATTGCGCCTTAATATCGCTTAATAAAAATGTGGATTTGATATAACGTATTTTTATAATGTTAAATTTCAGTGGTACCCACTGAAACATTGTTAATACTTGACGAAATTTTGTAGCTCGGAATATTTAAGATTTTTTAGTTCAATAAAAAAAGTGCATGGTATTGCTTATAAATGATGCGTTATAAATACAAAATAACTTCGTTTTTTCATTTTTAAACTATGATCTTAATTTTAATGTATACTTCAAGTTCATTTGGAAGATTTATTTTCATCTTAAGTGAAAGAAATGTTGGATCAATTTCTTATGTAGAATAAATAGTTTTAGATTTTAAAATGTAGGACAGCTTAAGTTATTGATAATTTTTATCTATTTATTCTGTGAATTCAAAGCATGTAATTGTCTTCATAGCAGTAGCCTCTTAAAAAACTTGTGATCCCAGCAAAAATTTATATATATATATATATTCCTGCAGATTTTATTAACTTTACTTTAATTGCCTTAATCTATGTTATAAGAGTATTTGAAATCAAGCATATGCATTTATTTAGTTCTTTATTGCAGAAATAGGAATAAAATTTTATAAATGCATATAAAAATAATTTTTCGCCATAGCAAAGTTCCTATTTACTCAAAGAATAAAAATATTGAGAAAAAATATCAACATTACTGTTTATTTTTTAATTATTTAATAAATAATAAAGAATGTGCATTAGAATTTCTTTCCATTTTGTATAAGTTAATTTTTTATTTTTGTTCTCTAGCTTTAGTGAAACAAAAACTTCCAGCTTAATGATATTCGCTGAAATTTTGTGGATAAATAAGTTAATTAGATATGGATAAATGAGAAATTAAGTGAAATTTTAAGTATAACTAGATAATGGTGATGATGATGGTCAGATATATTTCAATGGACTAGATTCTTGAAAGTGTTGATACGTTTTCGGCTATACCGTATGCATAACCTGAGATTTTTTTAAATTATTTTTTATTAAATTATTTTTAATTAAAAATGTATAATGTATTAATTTTACTATTTTAGAATTCTTCATTGCAAGCACTGACAAATAGCTTTTCAAAAATAAGGAGAGAAATTAACAATAACCATACTTTATTAATACTATATTGCAGAAAAAGGAATTAAAATTTACAAATTTAAAAATAAAAGTAATTTCGAACTGTAACGGAATTCCTATTTAAGCTAGGAATAATAAATATAAGCGTTAATGTGCATTTAAATATTTAATACATAGTGAAACAGACAAAAAAAGATGACATAAACTGCATTAGTAAGTATTTACTTAAAAAGAAAATCCTTCAACTCTAGTAATAAATAAATAAATTAAAGAAGCAACATTAAATTACATTATTTGAATTTTTGATCATTAGCACATAGATTGTAACGATGATGGACTGATATTTTTCAATGGACTAGATTTATGAAAATACTGATTTGTTTTAATGCAATAACGAATTATAAAATCATCCATCCTATATCAAAATGTATAAAATTTCTATCCAATCTGCGACTTATTTTAATTAAGTAATTAGGTTGTAATGAAGCATTATTTTAATTTAAAAGTAAGTGGAATAAAATAGTATTTTCTATGAACCACCACTGATTTCAGCCGAAAAGAAATGTTGATTCGCTGTAAAGAGTTACATAATCATTTCTTCAGATATTTTAATGATAAATAACAACGTTTGAAGTTTTAAAATCTTTCTTTCATTTTGCACACACTCTCAGAACCGTAAATTTAATTCACAAAATTTTTACTGATAATTTACAAAGGATGTTCATATGATATACGTGATATCAAAACTAAAAGAGCATTGAAATAGCCTTAGCGGATGGAGACGGCACGTTTCCCTTCGGCACATTTGACGTCATAACCAATCAGGGATCGTTTTTGATTGCATCACTTACGGAGGCTTTTTGGGGCAATTTAAATGTTTAATAACTAAATAAATTAACATTTGCCGAAAAAAATAAGTTAGGTATGAAAATAAAAAAAATTATGATATGCTGTAATTGTCCATTGTGACAATAAAAACATAACATCAAAATCGATTGAATGTTGAACATGATATGCCCGTTTGCTTTGTTGAAAACCATCCCCCAATTCAATTTGTTAAGTAAGGAAAAGCAGCAGCAACCTTCACATTAAAAATTTTAATTTAAAAAATTTTGTGTACTATTGAAATAATAAAATTAAATGTTTTCTAACAATTGACGTTTTTTGCAATTATTTTTTTCACAGGGAGGTGGTCCGAGATTTCTTAAAAATTTTTAAAAGGGGTCCATTATATCAAAAAGGTTAAAGAACACTGTTCTAAATAGATAGAGTTGGTTTTTTATTTCAGGAGTCATTATGTTGTGTATAGTTGGAATACCATCCTTAAATATCCCAAAGATTACACTTTGAGTGGTCACCATTTTTTAAAAGACGAAATTCCCTGTATTTTCCCAGTTTGTGAAGAAAAAATACCTGCGTTTTTCTGTTATTTCAGGTGATTTTTAAATTTCCTGCGTTCAAATTTATATTTCCTGTATCCAATTATTATTTTTAAACACGTAATGTTGCTTATTAAGCTATAACTAAAAAAAAATAAACTTTTTCAGCAAGATTATGAATTATTAGGTTCGGTCAGAATGGTGTCTAATTTTATTTAACAAGAAAATTATTAAATGCTGAAGAGTCTACTATTAAAGAAAAAATACTATGCTTTTCAGAAAGAATACACTTATTGACTACTGAAGAGTGGATTACTAAAACCGTCATAAGAAATTCTCTTCCCCAAAAGTAGATGAGAGCGTTCTACACGCTAACAAATACTGCTGTCTTCAAAACAATGTTTTCAAAGCTGAACATTCTTAAATAATTCCATAGTAAATGAAATAGTTTAGTATAGCGCAAAAATCATTCATAAATACTCCATAGATTGCAATTTGAGTAATCACCATTTTTTAAAAGACAAAAATAAGAAACAAAATTCCCTGCTTTTTCCCCAGTTTGTAAAGAAAAACTCAAAATTCCCTGCTATTTTAGGTCCCTGTATTTCTCAGGTTTTCCCTGTGGAGTGGCAACAATGAATTAATATAGCATTTTATAAAAGTTCTACTGCTAATTCTCAATGTATATAACTAAATCAATTTGAATTGCATATCATTAAAAATGAATGTGCTCATACCCTCTTATATCCATTGCTTCTTTATTGTTGGGATTAAAAAATTCATGATTCTTGTATGCTTCAGTAGCTTTTCTTCTGTACTCTCCAACATTAAAAACTAGGAAAATAAATTTTTATATATATATATCTACATATATAAGTTCAAAATGAAGAATAAAACACAGAAAAATTATAGACATAAGAAAAAAAAAGGGGGGGAAATAATAAGTAAAAAAATAACAAACAACAGTTTTTAAAAAAAAAAGGATGAAATTTTATTTAAAAAACCGGAAAAAAAGATATAATCTTTTCATCAACCCACACGATTATATCCGCAAAACAGAGTGCTTTCTGATATTGTATCAATAAAGCCAAAGCAAAATATATTAATACAATAGTGTGAGGAGCACTCAAATTTTTTTTTAATAAAAATTACTACAAATAAAATAGAACACAAAAAGTAAAAATAACATGTAAAAACAGAAAATAAAATAAAATGAAAAAACAATAAAAATGGACTATAAAGCGAGTAGCGAAATCAGATCAACTTACATGGACCGGAAAATTTTCAAGAATGATTTAAAAATGTTTTCGCAGAAAGATTGCCAGATTACAAAATATGAAAACAAAAGCGCAAATTGAGTGTAACAAGAGGGTTTTAAAGTGTCCTTCTTACTGCACTGCTGAAGTGATTTGTTATTCTGTGCATTGATTTGTTAGTTACCAAGGATGAGCCCAAAATGGATGTGTGCAATGTAATATTATAGTGTCTAATTTTAAAAACTGACCATAGAAAGTTTTAGAAAATAGATGTTTATTTAAGAAAAAATATAAAATAGAAAAGAGAAACATAAATTGCCTGTTTTGCAAATAATTTTAGCCACGGATTTGCACGAAATGGATTAGCACATGGAAAAATTAGATAAATTATCAAAGAAAAAAATTTTAATAGATAATTTTAACACGGATTTGCCCTATATATATATATATATATNTAATTGTGAGCCCAAGTCAGAATTCCGGAAATTTTCTTGAGTTAAAAAAAAAATAAATAAAAAAAAAATAAACAGTTTAAATTTAAAAATTAGAAAAAAATTTATACAAGGTTTTTTCCTTTTTCTCAATATTTCTTAGTTTACTTACAATACATTTAAATTTTTACACATACCTATGATGACCTGGAGAAGTAATTAAAATTTACAAATATGTCTTTCTTTCTTGAGTTTATGATTATAGCAACTATTTACTGATAAAAAATGAATATTGATCATGAATATAAGCTTATAAAGTATCTTTCTGGCTCGCCCTTACAAACAAATAAAATAAACTGTGTTTTTAAGTTCCATCTTCGAAAATTTGATTTCCGGAATCTTCTGTGATCAATGATTTTTTGAAACATCTGGACCTCCGATCTCCAGAAACTTCCGGATCACTGTTAGCGAAAAATCCGGATTTTTCCCCGAGCACAATCAGCCCTGGAGAGAGAGAGTGAGAGAGAGCACAAAAAGGGATAAAAAGAGAAAAACAACTGCAAGTATATAGAACTCATAAAATAAGTTAAAAATACAGAGGAGACATGGAAAATATTAAAGATTAATGAAAAGAGAAAAAGTAAAATATTTATTTCTACATATAGATTAAAAGGCTAAAATTATGAAAAGATATAATCTCTTCATCAGATCACACAATTATATCCACAAAAAGGAGTAACTCTCTAATATTGCATCAATTTTGTTGAGTGCTCCTCACACTATTGTATTTCTATATTTTGCTTTGGCTAGATCGATACAATATTAGTGAGCACTCCTTTTTGCGGTCATAATCATGTGAGCTCATGTTTTTGTTCTCTCGCTTTTTAATATATATTGAAATATTTTATTTTTATAACTTCTCTTTTTCTCCTTTCATTAATCTTTAATATTTTTCATGTTTTCTCTCTCTATATATATATACATATAGATAGATATACACTTTACGTGTAAAAAAGAGAGGAAATTGGATATTATAAACTTTTTATGTCGACTGATTTTTTTCTTCTTCATTTCTTTGTAATAATTTCGAAATTTCTAATTCAAAATAAATACATATACCTATTTTTAAAACCATCTATATCCAGGAACATCTAGTGTATCTAACACTACAAAAATATAATTCTAACTCACTAGTATATAAGACATGTTAACTCGATTCTATGGTGAGGCACCTTTTGATAGATGGCGGTAGACCTGGTCAATAACTACTATCCCCATAGCTATGATTATTTAAAATAAAACAGGCAGGGGCCGACTTAGCCTAATGGGGGCTTGGGGAATGTCCATCATGCTGAATGGAGTTTTCTGATTGTTAAATTTGTCATCTAGCTACAAAAAATTTACATCCTTGCTGACATTAGGTTGGAATTCAGCTAAATTTTCACAATTACGATAGCTCACTCGAGCCAATCTGGAGCTCGTATTTTTGTAAACATAACCTATTTTGCGATATGTAAAAATACATGCTTTTGATTGGCAAAATTTGTCTATCGTAATTGTGACAAATTTAGCTGAATTTCACCCTAGAAAGCCATGAATTTATGAAATATAGATTCTTTGTGTTCATATGATAGATTGATGGAGAGCTAACATAAAATAGATGGATTTTGCACTATACTGATATTTCGTTTAAAAAAATTCATTAAACAAGGAAACGTAAAATAAACTTTCCATTCGATTTGGGGGCTTCCTCTGATGTGGGGGCCTGAGACAACTGCCCCACATGCCCCTGCCTTAGTATGGCTCTGAAAACAGATATCCTTGCATTTATTAACAATAGAGTATAATGAACAAAACAAACCTTTGGTGTTTATTCCAATCCAGTTGAGATAGCGAGCAAGTTTTCGTGCAATATAAGTCTTTCCACGAGCAGGCAAACCCACCATAGCAATCACGTGCGGCACATTAACATAATTTGCACACATTCCTATCCAAAACAGATTAGAAAAAACAGTAACCAATATAAATGCTAAACTCAAATGTGCAATATATATATATATATATATATATATATTGCCATAAACATAATGCAATATAAGTATTGGATGACAGCGTCTCATGAAAATAGCATACCTGCCAACATATACTTTTTTTTTTAATTGAACATGTAATAATTTTTTATTCCAATATTATGGGTGATATTCCAGCATTTCCTTGGGGGTAGGGGGAGCCACACACTAATTATTTCCTTCCTCACATTTTGTAAGCAATTATCAAAGTGGATTTAGTCAAGAAGTTGAAATTTCCTTCTAAATTTATCAGCGACTTGAAAAATATATGATATCATAATATTTTCACAGTCTACTGAATTCGGCAATGAGGAGAGGACTTTCCTTCCAGTTCTAGAAATTTCTCTGTAAGTACCTCTGAATCTGATCAAGTCTAGTTTTTTTTTTTTTTCTAAAAATATATTCTTTNTATGATATCATAATATTTTCACAGTCTACTGAATTCGGCAATTAGGAGAGGACTTTCCTTCCAGTTCTAGAAATTTCTCTGTAAGTACCTCTGAATCTGATCAAGTCTAGTTTTTCTTCATTTTTTTTTTCTAAACATATATTCTCTGTACTGAATGCAACATACTGAGATAAATCATTACAATAATATTTTTAAATATTCATCAATATTTAAATATTTTAGTGGTTAAAACAAGGAATATAGTCTTAACTTATATTCTTTGTATTGAATGCAACATACTGAGATAAGTCATTACAAGAATATTTATGAATATCCATCAATATTTAAATATTTTAGTGGTATATAATACAAGGAATATAGTTTTAACATATATTCTTTGTATTGACTGCAACATACTGAGATAATAAATTGCAAGAATATTTTTAAATACCCATTAATATTTTAGTGGCCAGTTGTTCTGGTTTTCATGAAGGTCAAATTGACTTGTTGAAACTTGGCCTGACATTATGCGGAGTAGAATTGAAAAAGATAAAGTTCAATTTTCTTCAAACTCCAATTTTCTTTAATCTCTACAAACACAGCTTTGGTTCAGGTTACTTCTAGGTTTGGTTCTAGGGTGTGGTTAAAAAGCTTTATAGTTGACTCCAAACCAAAAATTGTTGATTTAAGTTAATGGCAGAACAAAAAATTTAAATTATTAACTATGAGAATGCAACTGGCAACTAATAAATCTGACTAAGGCTATTTCTAACTGTCTAATTCTTGAACATAAAATAAATTAAAGGAATATCTTCCAAGCAATAAGTTGTAGGGAAGATTTCGGTATCATGATCTGTGGCAGAATAATCGCCAAGTCATGGCAATTTTCGGGCAGCAGCCCGTGAGAAACTAAAAAAACATCACAGAAAGGGACCAACTCAAACCATACAACTCGTAGTCATTTCCGGGAAAACATCTACATATTTTTCTAGAAATATTTGAAAGTGGACTTTGGCGATTGTTGATGGACTAAATGGGACTTTGGCGATTGTTGTTGGCATGACAGATCACGATATGGAAATATCCCCAATTTGTTTAGTTTGCGGTTGTCCTAATTGAGATTTCTTTTTCTTTTCAATTTCTTGCGTGCCACTGCTTTGGGGTAAGGAAACTTGGCGGATTTTCTGACAGGTATATGGAAATATTTTCACGTTCGAAAGAAAACTTTAACATTCCCTTCCTTAGAACTTTCTGGAAATATTTCCGTATCGTGATTTGTCGCACTAATTACAATCACCAAATAGATTTTAAACTTGCAAATTTTTTTTTAAAAAAAATATGTAGATGTTTGCCGAAGGGCGGTTATGAGTTATACCTTTCAAGTTTGTCCCTTTCTACGATGTTTTTTTTTAGTTTATAGTGGGCCACAGTTCGGAAGTTGCCATAACTTGGCGATTATTTTGCCATAGATCAGGATACAGATATCTCCACAACTTTATAAATAATAGAATTTAAAAAGTAGTAAACTTCTTCAATTTGTAGATTTATCAATAACATTACCAAGAAAGTTTTAATAATGCCAAGAGTACACTGTATAGTAAACTGAGTTTTCAAACACTGATTCAGCTTTACATGGATGTAAATATTTATTATTACGAAAATATAGTAATTGCTTTGAATTTTGCGACGAATAAAGAAGGGGGAATTTTGGCCACCAGATATACAGTAATGAGAAATCGTCTGGAAATCAAAACCAATTAAATTAAACTTATTTAGAATATAAAATTTTTATTTCAAAGAAAATAAATACATTTTTTTCATACCTGGGTCAAAAGATACAGATGATCGACTCCATAGGGGATGAGCTTTAACTATATCCCAGTCGATATGCATGGTTAAAAACAGTGAGAGTAATTTGATAAACAAAATTCTGTAAAAAAAATAAACGAATTTTTTTACTTGATTAAGAACATTTCAAATAGTAACTTAATAATTCTTTCCCTAGTCGGAAGAAATCAAAATCCAAACTTAACATAAATAACAGAAAAGATTTGTTTATTTAATTTCATTGAGTATGTCAGAAAATATTGTAGGGACAGCAATTTTGAACTTTTTCGACTTTAGCATCTTTTTCCATTTGAGAATCATTTGGTTTCATTTGAACTGGCTTAAATATTTACGAACTTTAATTTTCACAGTGGCAAACGCATCTAGCGTAAAAAAACGCTCGGAAATGCTTCTTTTTGTAGTATAATTCAACTGCCAATAGTAATATAAAATTAGCTCTCTCTCTCCTTTATTAGGGTTGTTTAGGGCTCGTTTAAATTTTTTTTCCAACAAAAATTTTGTTTTAAAATAAAAATTTAATACATTTTAAAACAAATGCCAGAAAGGCTCTTGAGATCCACCATGGTGATTGGTGCAATGCGAGCTCCACTCTACTTTCAACCTACAAGCAGTCCTTTATATTTCTTTTGGCCATCTCCGGCACAAGCTAAAACAAATTTAGCGCAAAATTTAAACAAAATGAATTATAAATGACACTATTATATCTCAGTTTTTAGAGTGATTAATTTTAAACAATTATGCTATGGAATATTTTCTAAATCCAAAAGTCATTTAATTCAAGGATAAAGTATCTTGTTGAAGATTTTTTTTGGAATAAAAATCATGCAATTCCAACATGAGCTCTGAGGTAGGAGTACTTAAAGTCACTTTTATTATACTGACGATTACAGATAGGCAAACAGCTTACTAATTTTTATTATCAAATACTCATAAGTATAACTTGGGGATTTTCTATAAAACAAAAATAAATGTGAAAATAGTTATTTTTTTTTAAACAGTAGATGAGAAAAGCTTGAAACTGTCTGGTGTTATGTTAAATTTAATTTTTTTTAAAAATTAAGCTAATATTATATGCTAAACAATTGTATTGGTTAATTTTTCTTAGATTTGTTACATTCTAAGTTTTTTGTTCTTCTACAGTTTTCTACTATTTGTTCTTCTGCAGTTTTTTATTATTTTTCAGGTAAAATCTTAGAATAGACCACCTCTTGACGACTTTTTTGAAATCTTGCCAAGTTAGCAATTATTACTGGGATTAAGGTTGCTTTTCGATTATTAAACAAAAAGCAATTTAAATTATTACAAGTTTATTAGATTATTTTTTAATAGAATAATTTCCGAGGCAAATTTCTTTTGTTCATCAAAATACTAGGACTGACTTAAGAGATCAGAAGTGTAAACGGCGAAAAAAAAACCCCTTTTACCTCTTTTCTAACAAAATTCAACTTTCGCATAGATATACAAATAAAGTAACCAATCAGGTTTTAAAATTTTGGTGGCGTGATTAGACGTTTAAAATAATCTCCCCGAAATATCTTCCGGAAACCTAGTATGGCGAAATTAAAAAAAATCACCATGAGGTGAACTATTCTAGGATCAATTCGCTTTTCCTATTCTCAAAGGTAAAATAGGATTCTTTTGCAGAAAATGCTATCCATGATTTATGTATTACCTTGTTGTTGAATGATTAGTATGCAACAAATGTTTTGCTTACAAAACTATGCAATTTCTATGTTAATTTTTTTTCTTTTTTTTAAATTACAGGCACCTGTTAAATCATTCTATTTGAACATTTCCACCAGGCCCCCAATAAGCAAGAGAAAAGTGCATAAGCTTGGTCTGAAAAAGTGGGAAACTTCTCTGGAGGATTTTAATGAAAATAAAAAATCACTAAGTTTTTCATCTTTAAAATCAAATACTTTAAGTAAGTAACTATTTTGTGTTATGCTACCATCTGTTCTGTTTGTCAGTGATGGGCATCATTCACGTAAATTTTATTCATGTCTAAATTCAGTCAGAATAAATTTATTCTGAATGATTATTCATATGCAAATTTAGTCATTATTCATCATTCATTTTGCAAATTTTTGAATAATGATTGATGAATAAATCATTAGTCATTAATAATTTTTCTGATTAAAATCTTCAACAAACAGTGAAAAATGCAAGCATTCAGTTTGTATGCATGTATATGTATATGTCAACATATTTTTACGTACCTAGAATGAATGTTTAAACAAATATTTTTAAAATGATATGGAACAATTAAAACTGGTTAATTGATTTTAAATATTGTTTGACTTAATGATTTAAATTGCTTGAGTTGTTATTAGTGACCATAATAATTAAGGTTTCGAAATTTAGATGACTTACAAAAATTTTATATATTGTATTGTATTATATATTTAGATATACATATAGTGTACTTATATACATACATTGGGCAAACCTGTATGCACATTTGTACAGAACATGTATGTCCAATATATGTATGCACATAATTATAATTAATTTATGTTGAATTTATGTAGGTACATATGTACAATGTATGCATGTCGAATGTATGTATGTATATATGTACAGTGTATGTATAATTACTATACATATATAGTGTGCATACGTAAATACAGACATTGAAAAAAGTAATCCTTATTACAGGTATTTGATTATATAGCTGTAACTTCCTATAATTGATGCCCAACTCTTTTATGTACGTCTGTTCCAATCTATATGGAGGTACATTGTATGAGCTAACTAACATATATACATTGCTTTTACATAGTGCATACATAAGTAAATTGTGTGAAAAACAAATTATTTGTATATACCCCTTTGTATGTGTTTTGTGCATATACATGTATGTACTTGATATGCACTTAGATTTTTAGTTACAGACATACATACGTTTGCTTACATACTTGCATATGTATGTACATGTGCATGCATGCATACTAATTTACATTGTGTGTACTACTCATTTATGAATGTACCCATAATTTAATTACGACTAATTTCTACTCGGAAGTATTTTATATACTCCGATAGTATGAGCTTTTGGAGCCATTTAGAAAAGTTTCACTGTGATACTCATCCAATTTTATGTTTCCTTATTCATTTGCTAACTACTCTTCAGAAGATGGGTTTTGAGATTTTATTTTGGTGGGTACCAAGCAATATTGGTATTCCAGGGAATGACCTAGCCGACTCAGCTGCACGATCTGCCACAACTGCTTTAACATTGTCCATACCTTTCTCTGATGTAAAACTGCATATTCAGAAATTTGTGACATCATTGTGGCAACAACAGTGGGATCTCAAAGTTTTTAATAAATTGCATAGCATTAAACCCTATTTGCCAGTACTGCCCTTGCGTAGTGCTGATGTAAAGCTTACACGTCTTCGAATTAGTCATGCCCGGTTAACACACCTCCGCTTACTGTTTGGAGAGGCTCCTCCTCTATGCAGTACCTGTAATGTTCCTCTCTCGATTCATTACATTTTAATAATATGTCCATGTTTTAACCAACTTCGTTTAACGTTTTTGTGAGTTCTATTTTATGCATGCAGGATTTGTTAGATGATATTCACCATCCTAACATTTTTGCATATTTACATGCTGTTGGTATTTTTAACTGTACATAAATGTTTTGATTCATCTGCAATTTTATTCACTTCAGCAAACAACTTTTTTCACTTACTTCGTGTATTTTATGTCGTATTTAGAACTTTTTATCTGATTTCATTCTTACCCTTTTATGTGATTTTATTTTTACCTTTTATCTGATTCTATTTATAAATTTATACCATTTTATCAGTTATAATTGTACGACAGTGAAAGTGGTGCATGTACTTTATCTTTTGAACTGTTTTACCGTATTGTTTGGCGCAGCATGTCCTCTTTTGGACTTTGTGCCACTAAACCCTACATTCAGTTCAATTCAATTGTACACATAATTTATACATAGTATGTATACTTGTACATACTATGTGCATAAAAATGGATATACTATGTAATAATTAAGTATGAAAACATTTAACTTTTTTTACTTATTCATGCAAGCATTAATATACAGTGTTTGTTCGTAAATATACGCATAAACATACAGCATAGTTAAATATGCATGTATGTACAACATATTAATGTATTTGTGCAGTTGCTATTTTTATAATTATTTGTATTCGAGATTACTTGTAATCGTTAGATTATGATTGCTGGTAAAAATGACTGCATATAATTGCAAACATTGATTGCTTAAAATAAAAGATTTCGGTCATTTGTAACCATATATTGCATCTTGTTGTGATTACAGGTAATCATAATCACTTTTTATCTGAAATCGTTACTTATAAAAAAGATTATAAGTAGTTTATGTACTTTTTACTTGTAGTTTTCACAATCGTAGTCATTTTTAGTTTTCCTTGCTCATTTCCGTTGAGCAGTGAAATTATTAACTTATTCTTGACTAATGAATAAAGAAGAATGATTGAAAATAATGAATTATTTATTCTTTATTCAAATATTTCTGTCTAATGAACAAATTTTTATTCATTATTCAAGAAGATTTTAAATAATTATTCATTATTCTGAATGACGAATGCCCATCTCTGCTGTATGTATTGTATTAGCATAGCTGCCAACTCTACTGGATTTTGCCAGTTTCACTTTGTCTACTGGCTTAATAAAAATTCTCATGGTTTTTGCACATTTCAAAAAAATTCTTTAAAATTGAGTAAGTTTCCTAAAAAATCCCTATCAAAATAGAATTTTTTGAACAGATTATTGCTTCCTTGAATATATGAATAAGTAATACAAATACATAATGAAGCAATCCTCATTTATAGAAATCAGTTAAAAACTCTTTTTGTTCTAAAATATTCAGTTTATTTTTATTCAGAACTCCCTTTTTAACTTAATTTAAAAAAAAAAATTAAACTATTTTGATGAATTAAATACGTATTACTATTCAAAATTATGAGTGAACGTAATACATGACATTTCAAGCACATTTAATGGCAATCATGATTGGAAAATATTAGTTTTTAAATTTTGATGACTATAAAAATCCCTAAAATTCCTCAAATGTAAAATATTTATTACATATTGCAACAATTATCATGAAATTTATATTACTTTCTGAAATCTACTGGATTTTTTCCTAATAATGTTGGCGGTTATGTATTAGTATGCTTTATAATCTTATTTTAAAAAAAGCAAAGTTTTTGTTGTGTACTCTTTCTGGATACTTCTAAATAAATAGATGATGGGTTCAATCCCAGGGCCCCGTGTAGTAAATGGTGACTGGCGCACATTAAATCTGTCGAGTTTCAAAGTCCTACATGTCCCCATAACAAATCCATACCTCTGGGGGTACTGATCCAGGAGTTTCCTTCTCTTCTGGATTGGTTCAAAATTACAAGACTACAAAGCTGAACATTAGTGTCGTAAACCCAAAATTTGGTTGGCTGTTTAACAACGGATATAAAATAAATGAACTAGATGAGAACATACTAGCATCATGTACGAACATTTAATGACAACTTCCGATGGAAAACTAGGTGGAATACCTAAAACATATTCTCAGAGCTGATTGTATTCCAGGAATATCCCCGAATTCCGTTTTTTTTTTTTTTTTTTTTGTACTATCCTTTCTCGTTTAAAAATTAGGAGCTGGATATATGATTTTTCTGGGAATACCGTGGAATTCAAGAAACTTATAATCCGACGAAATTTTCACGAAATTCCTTAATCTAACATTTGAGTTTTGGAAAGTTTCCCTAATTCCCACTAACGAAACGCTTACATACACATGATTCTTTTACCAAAGGGCAGAAATTCGGCAATTGATTCTTCTGGTTAGGTGGGATTTTGAATATTTGAAACCGCCGAATTCACTAATATCGCGATTCCTATTCACACGGTTTGAATATCAAACATCGATTTTCGTATTTACCTCATTTAAGTTACACGTTGCGATTTGTATTGACATGGTTTTAAAATCGCATGTCGTGATTCATATTCATGTCATTTTAAAATCAAATATTGCCTTTCATATTCATGCAATTTTAAAACTTTAGAGTCGTGATTTATATTCACACAATTTCAAAAATCCAACATCACGATTCTTGTAAGAACTGAGCTTTTTCCTGAATTAGTTAGTATAAAGGTGTGATTCTCATCATTGGTAGGTAATTTAATTATAAATTTTATTTTTGAAAAAATATTACGTTAAATACGAAACATGAATTAATATCGATTTGTTGCTCATAAAATTTTCAGGGTTTTTAACTTTCTGTCACAATTACCCCTGTATTCTAATACAAGGTTGGAATTAACGTTTATCAGTTATCAAGGAAATTGTAGCCACATTTCTCTTTGTTTTCTTTGTAACAAAGTTTGTATAAATTTATCCCAGAAAGGCATGTAACCTTTCGGCAACCTTGTGTCGGAGTTTTCTTTTTGTCGCGGAAATGTTTGTACTAAAAAACCTTTCTTTAATAAAGCAAAAATATTGCGGTTTTAAACCTTTCATCCTAAAAGGATTAAAAATTATTTTTTAAAGCTTTTATGAAATGTATTGGCACTGATGTCCACAATGACGTTTTAGCTGACGTCGCACTAGCGATAGGACCAAATTGCTTTGTCCATTAAAATTTCGTGACGAGGTGGATTTTAACTGAGCATGCAAGACTTTTCTAAAAGAAACCTTATAATGACCTAGATTTAAGATTATTTTCACCTTGAGACTAGCTTTATTCAAGGATTTTTTCACGCTTGAAAACTCTAAGTTAACTTCAATTTAAGGTTTTTATAGAGAAAGTTGTTTTCCAAGGTTTTCGATTAGAGTAATGTGCCTAAAATAGAGAAGATTGTCACATATCTCGTTTTCAGGTACTGTATTACAAACCTTTTTAGGTTTACATTAAAAGGTTTTTGTTGAGTGAAAATAAACCTCATTGTGCTATCTGGGATATCATTTACTGTTTGTATATAAATTATATTTCTTTTTTTGTTTAAGGTAAGGAGCTAAATCTCTGCAAAAGGAAAATATTTTTCGAAAATGCTCACAAATCTCTGAAAAGAAAATCTATATCCGAAAAAAATATTATCGAAACTGATCTTTTATGCTTAAACAATCGGCCATTTCGCCCTTCAATCCAGCAGAAGGAAAAAAAGATAAATATTAATTTTAATATTCAAGCTACATTTGAGACTGTTAACTGGGATTCCAAACCCAAATTCGAGCAGAATGCATTTTCAGAAAATACTTTTAAAAAAAGGAAATCTGTGTTCAATCAAAGCACCATCGACTCTGATTTTTTGTGTTTAAAAGACCAGTCGAAACCTCGTTGTTGTTCCTCCTCTGTACGATTTCCACAAAAAGAAAAAAGAGCTCTACAAAATGCTAATTACAATCTTTGCAACAGTAAAGGGGAGAGAAAGACACTCAATTTTAAATATGATGACATTGTGCTGTGTGATTCTAATCCTAAGGAACATGCTATAGGTGAAAAAGTTGGAGATGTGCTGCATGATTTTAATCCTAAGCATCAATCAATTGGTGAAAAGGTTGAAGATGTGCTGCGTGATTTTAATCTCAAGCAACATTCAATAGGTGAAAAAGTTGGAGATGTGCTGTGTGATTTTAATCCTAAGCAACATTCAATAAGTGAAAAAGTTGATGTTCTGCTTGAATTTAATCCTAAGCAACATTCAATAGGTGAAAAAGATGGAGATGTAAAAAGGCCTAAACATAATTTTGTCATTCCAGAAGAATTTTCTTGCAATAATAATGTTCAAGTTTTATCTAAAAGTGCTTTAACTGAAAGTTTCAAAACTGTTGAAAGTTTAAAGGAGGAAAAGCATGTAACAAAGATTGATCTCCCGGAAGACGTTAGAAATTTGTTTAAGACTGTAAGTATGTTTAATTCTTGTTATATTCCACCAACAAACAGGGTGCTTTTTTTAAAAAATTACTTAAAGGTGCTTATTTTTGATTTATGTTTTTTAAAAGCCTTTATAGTGCTTACTTTTCTATTTTTCAAAAAGAGATTTTTTCTTTGTCTTGTTGATTGTCGTCATAAATTACAAAAAGAGCATGGTTTTCTCAATTTTCTCTGCAATATTTATCAAAAACTAATTATTTTATCATGGTTATATAAAGTTTTTGAATATGTTTTTGTGTTTCTTTGATTTTATGTTTCTATATTTTAAACTTTAAATGATGGAAAAAAATAATTTTTATTACTACACATATCCTAGTTATGATTTTTTTGGGGGGAGGGGAAAGTGATTAATAATATTTTTGGGGTGCTTTTAAAGTGCTTAAAAGGTGCTTATTTATTGCTGTAAAATCTGGCTACGCACCCTGAACAAATTTTTAAGTTCTGAAGAACACTTGTCTTGTTTGAGATACAAATTACTAAGAACATTAGTTTTTAGTAGAAATATTGACTGAGGTAGAATTTTTTCTGTCTTGTGACCCCCCGTCGCAGAATCGTTGGCGCAGAACGCTACCGAGTTCTTTCAGAAAGATTTTTCTTTAGGGAAATAAAAAATTTTAGTTTTTTTTTCTGCAGAAATTTTTGAAAAATTTTGTCTTTTCTTCAGAATTATATTCAAAAGATGTCTTTCTCGCTTTTCAGAGTTGGAAAAAAAATGCTTATGACTTTTCTATTATCATTTGAGAATGATGAAAAATAAAAAATAATGAAGTAAAAAAATTTGGTTTTCTTTTCAGTAGAAATTTTCGTTCAATTTTTTTTCATGCTGTTATTACTACTGATTTCCGCATAGCTTTTAAAATACGATATTTTTAATACCATATTATTTATTACAACAACTGAATCTCGAAATGAAAACTCGGATTTAGTAACCCCTTTTTGGAGAGTCGGATTCGCTCTTTTCTGTAGTTACTGCTACAGATTTTACTATTTTTTAATTTTTTGAATGTGATGATGAATTACAAAGCTGGAAAAAGGAAATAATTATCTGTGATAATGGCATTTTTTTTTTTAAATTCAAGGTTGTCATAGGCGACTACAATTCAACTATTAGCAACTATTTTCTTCATGAGTAACTTTTTTCATTTCAAAAGGCTAAAAAAACAACTATATTCAGGAAAAAGTGACTATTGGGAGACTTTTCTGTACTTTTTACAACGTTTTTTTAGCATAAATTGGGTTATGCACTGGGGTCGATGCGAGCTTCTGAACACACTAAATTTTTTCTTCTTAAAAAATAGAAAATTTTGAAAATCTTAATAGCTAATTTGATTCATCACTTTTTTAATTCGTTCAATTTGCACAGAATCCATTGCAAGTCTATTTCGTTTCTCAATCGCCTTTTCAACGGTTATTGCTACTAAGTTCTGCCTGATTTTAAAAAACCTAATTTTTTAATACGATATTACGATGCGTGAACTGCAAATTTAAGTAATCACTTTTCACAATCTATATATAATATGTTTGCAAAATCTGTTAATGATAGAAGGGAAATTGTTTTTAAAAAGTATGTTTTTTTTAATGANTTAGTAACCCCTTTTTGGAGAGTCGGATTCGCTTTTTTCTGTAGTTACTGCTACATGATTTCACTATTTTTTAATTTTTTGAATGTGATGATGAATTACAAAGCTGGAAAAAGGAAATAATTATCTGTGATGATGGATTTTTTTTTTTTTTTTTTAAATTCAAGGTTGCCATAGGCGACTACAATTCAACTATTAGCAACTATTTTCTTCATGATGAGGTGACAATGGCAACTTTTTTCGTTTCAAAAGGCTAAAAAAGCAACTATATTCAGGCTATTGGGAGACTTTTCTGTACTTTTTGCAAGGTTTTTTAGCATAAATTGGGTTATGCACTGGGGTCGATGCGAGCTTCTGAATACACCAAATTTTTTCTTCTTAAAAAATAGAAAATTTTGAAAATCTTAATGGCTAATTTGATTCATCACTTTTTAATTCGTTCAATTTGCACAGAGTCCATTGCAAGTCTATTTCGTTTCTCGATCGCCTTTTCAACGATTATTGCTACAAAGTTCTGCCTGATTTTAAAAAACCTGATTTTTTAATGCGATATTACGATGCGTGAACTGCAAATTTAAGTAATCACTTTTCACCATCTATGTATAATATGCTTGTAAAATCTGTTATTGATAGAAGGGAAAATGTTTTTAAAAAGTATGTTTTTTTTAATGAAAAAGTATTTTTTTGAATAAATTCTTGCAGTTTTAACTACAAGAATTTATTCAAAAAAATACTTTAATTTTCTGCTGATAAACAAAAATTTTTTTATCTGAAAATTTAGTGCTAGAACACTAATGTTTGTATAAAAATTATCATATTTGCCAACAACTTGACTAAATGGATCGGTATATGGCAATTAAATCATTTAATAAAATGTCATATTTTTAATGAAAGTTTGTTCTTGATTATGTTTGGCAATTATTTTCATAGTTTTTGGCAGCTATTTTCATTCTTTAGGCTACTAAACGCAACTATTTTATTCACCCTGTGGCAGAATTTTTTAGGGCTTTCTGCGAGAAACCTCTCTAGCACCAATATCTTTCTGCAAAATGCTTTTAATAATAACTAATATACATGTTATTAATTAAATTTAAAGTAACATACTTACAAAGCCTATTTGGATAAAATATTGAAATTTATTGTATGTATTTTTTTTTGTTTAAATGAATATGTAATGTTTTTTTATTTTAATATCATGTGCGATATTCTCAAAGTTTGTAAGTGGGGAAAACGCCAATTATTTCTTTTTTCGCATTTCGTAAATCATCATCACATAAAAAAATATGATAATTAAAAATCGTAAAATCAGTGAAAGAAAAGAAAACCTAATTTTATTTATCTCAAAAGGGAATTTAAAAAAAATAACGAGCATTTCTTCCCCTCTGATGCGTGAAAAAGGTATCTCATGCGAATAGTTGTGGAGGAAAAGAAATCTTTCAGACGTTTCTGCAGAAAAGAAATTTTTTGCTTCAATATTCTTTAATTTTCATTCTTCTCAAATACGAAATAAAAAATTAAAAACATTTCTTATCCCCTCTGATGCGCGAAAAATGCATCTTTGAATTTTAATTTTAAAGAAAAAATTTTTTACCTTCTAAAGGAAAACTCTTTCTGCAAGAACTCTGTAACGTTCTGCGACAATGTTGCCACAATTCTACCACAGGTTTTTTTTTTCTGTGGCAACCGTAATTTATTTATAAGTTTAATTATTTTTTTTATTTTTTAGGATGCTAAATGTTCCTCTATTGGCGTTGGAAGTGAATGGATTCATTCTCTTGAACATATCCTTCAAAATCATTCGCAGGGGAAGAAGAAAATTCAAAACTTAATTGTGTAACTCCTTTTTTGTCTAAACTTTTCTTTTTGAAAGTGTTTTGCCTAAAATTTTTATCCCGTGATAAGTTAATCTTTCCATTTTACTAAAGACAAAAATGAAAGCGTTCCTATTTAAAATTCATAAGACCTCTAATAATTTAAGAAGTAGAACTAATATCTAAAGTATAATACTAACTAACTATTGATTTTTCTTTTTGTACAATAATGGTTTTGTTTTAATTTTTGGTTTTTGTCTAAATCCTATTGATTTTATTTGTTTTTTAATATTTTCATTCTAAGAGCATTAGAGTATTTTTTTTTTAGGATTTATGTTTTTTTTTTTTTTTAATATACGGTACTGGTCAAAAGTTAAGACTGACTCTTGAATTTTTAAAAATGAATGAATAACAATATTTTTAAACTAGAAATCGCAACAAATTAACTTTTATTTGACAAATATAGTTATACTTATGCGGTTAGTACAGTAGGGAACCGATTATCCGGAACGATCGGGACCATCGCTATTCCGGATAACTGATTTTTCCGGTTTTCTGAAGCGCTACAAAAAACCGTTTTTTTATTGTTAAACCCAACTAAAAAAGAAATTTTTTTTTTTGGAAATAATCTTAAAAAGAAGAAAAAACGATGAAGTAATACACTAATGATTATTTCCAAAATGATGGTAAGGTGAACATCTTTCAAAAAAGAAAGAAAAATCCTAAAATCTTAAGAGGAAAAATTTTTTTTTTTAAAAAATGGCNGTATTGCATATTGTTGACCTTTCTATCAATTTTCGCAACGTTCATATTGTGTAGCGTTTTTAAAAAGTGCTTATTTTCAATTTCCATTTTTTAAAAGCCCTTAAAGGGGTTGTTTTTTTTTATTTGGGGTTTGTGAAAAGTGCTTAATTTTCTATCTTTTAAAAAAAGTTTTTTTCTTTGCCGTATTGATTGTCTTTTTTAAATTACAAAGAGTGCATGATTTTCACAATTTTGTCTGCAACATTTATCAAAAACTAGCTATTTTATTAAGATTATGTAAAGTTTTTGAAAATGTTTTTGGATTTTATTGATTTTATGTTTATAAATTAAGAGCTTTGAGTGATAGAAAAAAAAATTTAATTTTTTTAGTGCTTAAAAAGTACTTAAAAGGTGCTTATTTTTTATTAAAAAAATCTGGCTATGCACCCTGGAAGAATTATGCACTCAAATTTAGGTTAATATAATGTACAAGTTATACAAAACAACAATTTTTATATGAAAAATTGATAAAAATTATAAGTACATAGCTGCCAACTCTACTGGATTTTCCAGTAGACTACTGGATTTTGCCAGTTTCTCCTGGTCTACTGGTTTATTTGAAATTCTCCTGGTTTTTGTACAATTTAGAAAATTCCAAAAATTGAGTAAGTTTCCTTAAAAAATCCCTTTTGAAATTAATTTTTTGTGCAGATTATTGCTTGAATAATTAAAAAGTATTACTAATACATAATGAAGTGAACTTCATTTATAGAAATCAGTCGAAAACTTTTTTTGTTCTAAAATGTTCAGTTTATTTTTACTCACAGTAATCTTTTTAAATTACTTTTAAAAAATCTTTGAACTATGTTTGGTGAATTAAATGCCTATTAATGTTCAAAATTATGAGTAAATGCAATACATAACATTTCAAGTATGTTTAATGCCAATCATAACTATAGAATATTGCAGTTTTTCTACTTTGATGACTAAGAAAATCCCTAGAATTTCCTACTTCTAAAATATTTAGTACATTATGCAACAATTATCGTGAAATTTATATTATTTCGTAAAATCTACTGGATTTTTTTCTCTCTATGTTGGCAGCTATGCAAGTAAAAGAAAAGAATCTCCACATTTTTTAGTTTTACTGTTATTGTAATTTTTTTTTTTGGCCTATCTGTATTTTTTATCAATTTTTCATGTAATGTTTGTTTCAAATCCAGAAAATGAGCTTCCAAATAATTAGCTTCAAGTGTTTTAGACAAATAACTAAAATTGCATATGATTTTACAACTTTTAAATTTAAAAAAAAAAAATTAAATTATGCTATATCAAATGTAAAAATATGAAAAAGGATTTTTTTATTGTAAATAAATTTTTATGAGAAAGATTGTAGGCGAAACTATAAGCATGACTGATAAACTTTAAACCTCACTTAAAGCTACATTTAAAATGAATTCAAATCAATTGAGCCTAATTTGTAAGTTGTAAAACACCAATTTGAAAAAAAAAAAAATTTTTTTTTAAGAGCGGCTCATTGATGCCCTCATTTTATGACCAGAATTCAAAACATGATGTAGATATTCAAAGTAATTACAAGTAGTTAAAAATGTGTTAAGATTTATAAATTTAAGTAAATTTTCTTTTTTTTTTTAAATATTTTTTTTTTACTTTATGAAAATTGCTTTAAGATCTAACAGTTCTAATGTGAGAAAGGTGCTATATAAAAAATGAAAAGAAGTTTAAAAAAACCTCTACAAAAAAAAAAAAAAAAAAAAAAAATTTGTTTCTTAGGTTCGCTGTCAGCTAATGTTTAAATTGACAAATATTGCTTTTTGATAATACTTTGAAAGAAATTTTTTTAAAAAATTCTTGCTTGTTGAAAATTTTGCTTCTGCAACATCTACCAACTATTAATGACAGTTCTACTATTAATTATAGTTAGAATTAAATTATAATTTAATTTTTGCTGTTTTGTTTTTTAAAAAAAATGAATGCAATTTAGTTCTTATATGCTAGTACATTTCTGTTAGCATATTTCCAATATTATTTATGACGTGGCTAATATTTGCCAAAACCTTTCTCTTTGTAGTGGAGGATATTGCGAACAGATTCTCAAATTTCAAAGGCGTGAATTGTCAGAAAAAGCTATTTGCGAACACACGAATGGATTGAAAGCTGAAACAGGTATTTATCCTGTAATTTCTAGAGATTGAAAATATTTTTGTCATTATTGTTAGCAATTAAGTATTCTGAAACCTTGACTGTTCATAGCTTTACTCTTAAGAAACAGATTTGTTTCCATAATAAATATTTACATGCAAATAGGAATTATGGATTAATTATGTTACATGTAAAAGTAAAAGAAATATTAATTATGTTACATGTAAAACTAAAATAGGTATTTGTAGGTTTGTCCTGAAATTTCTGAAAAATAAAAATATTTTTGTCATTATTGTTAGCAATTAAGTATTTTAGAACATGGACTGTTCATAGTTATACTCTTAGGAAACAGTTTTGTTTCCATAATTAATATTTAAATGTTGACTTTTTATTTATGAATTACACCATAGAATTCTATGGGTCCAAGTTCCTATTTTCAAATTAGGTACTTTCTCAAAAATTGTGCTTTTAAAATGGGTATTTTCACAAAAAACTTATAAAATCAAAATGTGTTTCCGTAAATTTTTTGAATTTTTATTTGGTATTGGGTACTTTCACGAAAAATATATTTTATTACACTAATGGTGAATTATTTCTTTGATATTTTATGTTTTCAATGAGGTAATAAAAGAATATATTTATCAAATAGTATTCAAAAAAGATTTTTTTATAAATTTGCATTTTCAATTTAGCTCGCAATTCATATATCTTACTTTCTAGATTTATATTTGTAATTCAGATAATCTTAAAGTAATTTCCTATTTAATTGAACAAAAATGCTAATAAAAATATTAAAAAAATGCTAAATTTAATTGAATCCGTGACTACCTCTTTTATCAAATTTTTTTTCTTTTTTTTTTTTTACATTAACACTAAACATTCCATAACTGGTCCAACATACCAATAACCGTTTAAGAACTTTTGCATCAAAAATGCGCTTATCATCTGACCGTTTTTGCACATTTGACTTCATGACTTTTTCTAACAATTATATACAGTTAATAATCTATTATTTTATTTTGTTTGTTTCGGATAATACTTGTCGTATACCTATTTTTACCACAACCGGTCATTTGACCAGAAGAGCAATTTATTGCTCTATATGCTTATCGGATCAGAAATGATGATGTAATGTGTGTTCAACATATTGCATTCTATGAGTTGCACATTTTTGCTAAGACTGTTAAATAGTTAGTTCAATCAGAATAACTGTGAATTCAAATTTCAAGATAGTACCAAAAATTTTAGATTGGCATTTTTGAGTCAGAAAAAGTGACAAAAACTAAATGTTTTGGTAAGTAGCTTATATTTTGTTTTAATAGCTTTACTTCATTTCTAACTAACTGTAGTTTTTACCCAGAAAAGTGTCGAAACAATCAAGACAGCACAAGTTCTTAGAATAAATAATATTAATTATAAGAATAATAATTCTTATAGTTCTTATATGTTCTTATCAGGGTTGGCAAGATTTTGCCGCAGGTGGAAAAAACCATGGTAAATACCGGTAAAAACCGTCCTGGCAAAAACAGGTTTTTGCCAAGCAAATTGGCAAAAAGTGGCAAAAACCTATATTTTCCAAGATGAGAGGACAAAAACACATTTTTGATACAAAATTATTCCTAAAATTGAAATATATACTATGAATATAAATAATTACAAAAAAATTAACAAAATTATTATTCCATAATTAAATGATAATGTAATAATATATCATTTTAGTAGTTTAAAACATTATTGATTGGAAAATTTGTGATTATTCTCTTTTTTCCAGTGAAATGAACTTATTTTAAATTAATATAACTATAATTTAAAGCATAAAATATCTATCAACATGTGTAGTTAATTATTGTACAAATAATAATTTTTTATAATAAATAATAATATTATACAAATAATAATATTTATTTATTTGTAAAAAAACTTTTATTTTAGGATTCTGAAATGAAAAGAGATCAAAAACTTTCAATCTTTTAAAAATTATTACCCTTATATTAATTGTTAATATGTTAAAAATAATTTTTTCATGTAATGTATCAAAATTATTATTCCTTATGATTGATTTAAATTTGTTTCAAGTATTTTGTAATAATATTTAATCAGTAGTTTAGATAATTTGGTTTTTGCCGGTTCTTACCAGTTTTTGCCGGTTTTTACCAGGTTTTTGCCACTGTCCTGGCAAAAACCCCTTTTTGCCGGCAAAAACTCCAACCCTGGTTCTTATAATTCCTTATATATTCTTTTAATTATAACAATAATTATAAGAATTATAAAAATAATAATAATTAGAAGAAATATATGTGTGGAAAATGTACAATGGAAACACCCTGTATATATAAAAAATGCGTTGAGCAATGAATTAAAAATTCTTATTCTTTGTGTTTGTAATATATAAAAATTGACAATATACAATTTTGTTTAATTGTAATAAAGTTATTTTAGTTTAATTCCTTCATAACATCCATATTTAATACATTTAGTCAAGAAACATAAAGTCGGATCATTTGACCGGCTATGGTAGAAATAGGTATAGAAAAACTGTTGGTATGTTTAGTGTTAATGTCTTGATTTGATGAACAGGTTATCAAAGTGAAAGTTTTAATATACATTGTTCTTTTTTCAGAATCTGTACTCATGAGAATAAATTCCATAATCCACGATTGTGAAATAATTATCACCGAATGTTGTCTGCTTGATCAAGAAGAACTGAGAAAGGGTGACTCCTCTTATATTGCCCTCTTCCAAAAATCCTCTTTTAATAAACAACAGATGAAAACAGGGAAAGCTTTCCTACTCTCTCTACCTTGGTAAGGCATAGTTTGTATAAAGTGGTATAACTATTTCAACCAGGGGTGTGGTGTCATTGTTTAGGACAGGCACGGGTCAGTGAGAAAACGGGAATCTTTTTCTTTGCTCTATTGTGTTAGCCAAAGAGTGTAGAGAAGCTATCCTCCTTAAAATGCGCTATTCTTGTTTCCATAGCAGCAGGTGGCCTCTGACTTTATGGTGGGGAAGGTGTGTTCTTACTGTAGACTAACTATAACTTTGCTTTCTCATGACATATATACTTTGCTCAACATTTCCTGGACCCCATCCAGAATTGCAGCGACACGGCAAAATAGTTGCAGAATGTTTGTTGCAGAATTGATTGTTTTTTTTAGTAAATAAAAATTTACTTTTCTTTTCTGCAGAAACTTACACATAATTCTCATGATTCATGTATTTAGATAATCACTCTTTGACGCTCTCGATTTACTCAGATAGTATCGTGAATCGATGTAATACTTCAATTTTATTTTCAGTATTTATGTATATTGATTTTCACATGGATATTAAATATTCATTTCAAACAATATGGAAAATGTGAATCATGGCGTTTGAGTATTTACTTTAATAAGGCAACGATTTTATCAGATTTGTGGCGATTATTGCCATTGATTTCTCCAAAGTTTTTAAATCCGATATTTTTTACATAGTATTATTTATTACAACAACCTAATCTCAAAACGAAGCACACATTTGAGAATTTCGATTTATGTGATTTTGTCGTCGATCTTTTTTTCGACAATTACTACTACAGATTTCATGATTTTTTTATTTTTTTTATTGTGATGATTATTTACAAAATGCGATGAAGAAATAATTTGTGTATCCCTCCCTCCCAACAAAATGCGAGAATATCACCCATAATATTAGAATAAAAAATGGGAGCTCTCTAGTGCCAATGAAAATCATCACAATATAAATATACAATTAATGGATTATCATCATCAATGACTCGACAGCGCAGGGTGGGCCTTGGCCTTCTCAAGAAGTTTTTTCCAGGCTTGCCTTTTACCTGCTAGTTTTTTTAGTTTTTAAGACCAAAAGACCTTTTTCTAGGCCATCTGTTCATCTCAAATTTGACCTGCCTCTTTTCCGTGTGCCAACTGGTCTGGCATTGAAAATTCTTTTTGTGGTACAGTCTTCGTCCATTTTGATAACGTGGCCTGCCCATTTTATTCTTTGTCATTTAATAAAGTTAATAATGTCAGGTTCATTATATGAGTGATAACACTCGAGATTTGATCTTCTAAGTCACACACCATTTTTTTTTTTAAAAATTCCTCCAAAAATACTTCTTAAGACCTTTCTCTCAATTATATATTTATATTCTGATTATGAACGCAGATTTTTTTTTTTTTTTAAATTTATATTCCTATTTGAAAATTCTTTTCATGAAATTTTAAATGACCGTATGAAATATTAATAGTGTGTTTATTGTTTTTGTTATTATTATTATTGTTTATTGTTATTATTATTCTTCATTGTTATTATTATTCTTTATTGTTATTATTATTCTTTATTGTTATTATTATTCTTTATTGTTATTATTATTCTGAAGTGTTATTATTATTATATTATGGGAGTGCAATTGTCGTCCTCAAAATAACTTTCAATTTTTTTTGTAAATTTTAAGGACATGCCCTTGAAATCAAAATTATAACTTTGAATTAATTTGCAACCAGAATTATCTTAAAGAAAGAAAAAAATATGGATAAATAATCTAAAGAATTATATATCTTTTCTTTAATTTAAATATAAGGAAATAGAATAGAATTATAAGAAATTTACTTTTTTATATTTAACTTTTAAACTTAACATGCCGTAGTACTTGGTTTTTATAAAAGGGAAATATTGCAAATTCATAAAATAAGTTCTTTTACCGTTATTATAATCTTTAAAGTAACTTTACTACTAATCATCCAACAGATCTTTTATTAGCACACATTACAAGTACATTTATGCCAGAAATTTTTTTAGCATGTGTTAAAAAAACTATAACATTATTATAATTAGTATTAGAACATTTTTGAATTTTTAAAAAAATGGTGTGTGGCTTAGAAGATCAAATCTAGAGCTTTATCACTCATATAATAAACCTGACATTATTAACTTTATTAAATGACAAAGAATAAAATGGGCAGACCAGAATGAACGAAGACCGTACCAGAAAAATATATTTGAATGTCAGACAACTTGGCATTCGAAAAAGAGGCAAGCCGAATTTGACATGCATAGATGATGGCCTAGAAAAAGATGTTTTGGCCTTAAAAACTGGAAAACACTAGCAGGAAAAACGTTAGCCTGGAAAAAACTTCTTGAGAAGGCCTGGGCTGTGGAGCCATTGATGACGATAAGGATGATTAGAGCATCAGTATTTAATATTTGACCATAAACATTAAATTCAACATACTTTTATATATATATTTAACCTATAAAGTACCAAACTTTATATCAATGCTTAAATGCAATTAATTTATTGACTGGTTTTCATGGGATGATTTTATTCATACTTAAAGACATCAAAACGTTACAAAACTTATTTATTTGTAAATAGATCTTTATTTCTCTCTCAGGGTGTGTAGCATTTTTAAAAATAGCTTAAAGATGCTTATTTTCGTTTTTTAGAAGCCCTTCAAGGTGTGCTTTTTTCATTGGGTGTTTTTAAAAAATTCTTAATGCTGCCTTTTCCAAAATAAGATATTTTTTTATCATGTCAGTTTTTTTTCATGAATTATGCGGAGAGTGTTTTCACAATATTCTATTCAATGTGTTTACCATTTTTTCTACCATAATAATATTAGAATATCCCATTTTTGAAAGTTCATATATACAAGTTCAAAATGTAGGGAAAACATGGAAAAAAATTACAAAATAATGAAAAAAGAGAAGAAATATTTTTAAAAAAAGTAAATAAATAAAAATCCGGAAAAAATCGATATCATCAACTCACACAATTATATCCTCAAAAAGGAGTATTTCAATAAGATCAAATTTCATAATATTTTTGAAAATTTTAACAATTTATTTCCATTAAAATATTTTAAGATACTTAGAAGCTTTAAATATAGTAAATCTCTTGATAGAACTTTATTTAATTATAATGATATTAGCAAAAATTTAGAGAGGATTAATGTATCCGATTATGAATGTCACTGTGAGGAAGAGAAATATTTTGATTTTGTTGATAAACATTACTGAAAATTGAAACATTATAGAAAACTTAGGAATTTACTGATAAAAGATGCAAAATTTAGACCCATTTACCATATATCAATTAATAAATTCAAAAGTACTTTCTGAAAAATCTCAAAAGTATTTGTTCAAAGATATCAAATAGATTCTCTTTCGGTATGCTAACAGAATGGAAATGGGGAGTTTATTATTACTTTAAAAACTCTGTTTTCTATAATAAAGAAAATTTAAATAACAGTAACAATTCAACAATTTTTTCTAAAATTGTTCAATCAATTAAGCAACTACAAAATAAATTTGTAATTACCCCCATAGACATGGCTAATAATAATTATGCAAACTTCTGTAAAAAATTCCATGTTGAACTTTTAAATGCAGAGTTAAAGAATAGTAAAAATTTTAAGCTCAGTAATTTAAATATTAATATTACCATTTCGAAAAAATGTTTGGCTTTATATAAGAGGTTAAAAATTAAAGTTAGCAATTATACAAATTCCTTTCTTAATTATCAGTCCTAAGTTTCATAAATTTCCTATAAAATCTCAACCAATCTCATGTTTGTCTAGTACTTACTTAACTGAACCTGACACCATTTTCTCTAACTACTTAAATATACTTATTAACAGTATTATTAAAGAAGTTTTTTCTTGGATTATAACTAATATTCAACTGATTTTAGAATTTATTAAACATAATAAAATTTATTTTATTGCGACTTTTGACTTCCAGGATCTTTTAATAGCATTTCCCTTTCTAAACTAAAAGATGTCTTTTTTAAATTATTAGTATGATTTTAAAAATGTCCTTAATTGTGATTTTGATTATTGGGAAATTCTTATTAATTTTTGCCTCTTTAAAAATTATCTTTACGATGGAAAAGATATGTTTCTTCAAATTGGTAGAATACCACAAGGATCTGAGTTGTTCATCTCTTTTAGCTAACTAATTTTTGTACTATTATGAAAAAAATTATACTCTTAACATTAAATTTGTTGTTAGATATAAATATCATCAATTTTCAAGATTATAGAAGTTTATTAAATAATAATTACCCCGAGGAATTAATCTTGCTTCGTATTCATGATGATTATATTTTAATTTTTTGTATTTGGGTAATATAAAAGAAGAAGATATCTGTTTTGTTGATTTATACAATAAAAAAATTATTTGAATTTTAATATAAATAAACTAATTACTTGAAATTCTAATGTTTCTAAAAACATCTATTTAAATACCATTTTTAATCAAATGAATAGAATTAATTAAATGAATAAATTTTATATAAAATCATTGAATTAATTGTATGTTATTGTGAATAAATTTATTTAAACTTCTTTGAAAATTTATATAATTTTTAGCAAGTGCAAATCCATTTCGGGCAAATATGTGGTTAAAATTATGAAAGAACCTAATTCCAAAACAACAAATTCATATTTCTTCATCTCTCTCTTTCTTTTTTTTCTTAAATAAAAGTTAATTTTCAATATCAAAATCGTATAATTAAATATCAACTTTATTGATTGCAAACTTCTTTAAATTATCCAGTATAATATTGCCTTTGCACATCCATTTTCGGGCCCATCCTTGGTAACTAACATATCAAACGTGCTTCAGTACTGCAGTAAGAACGCGCTATAAAACAATATCCCTCTTTCTACGCTTGTACCTCAATTTGCGCTTCTGTTTTCATACTTGGTAATCTGGCAATCTTATTACAAAATGCTTTAAATCATTCTTGAAAATTTTCCCTTTCAAGTAATTTGATTTCAATTCGCTTCATAGATTTTGTTTAAATTTTTTGTTATTTTTTTTCTTTACATTTTATTTTCTTTTTTTTTGCGTGATATTTATAAATTAATGTGTTCTATTCTATTTAGTTTCAAAAAATTGTTTTGAGTACTCCTCACACCATTGTATTGATATATTTTGCTTTGGCTATATTAATACAATATTAGAAAGCACTCCTTTTTGCCGATATAATCATGTGAGTTGATGAAGATATCTTTTTTTCTGGATTTTTAATATAATTTTTTTTAAATATTATTTAAACAACTTTCTTTGTTTCTTTTTTCATTATTCTGTAATTTTTTCCGTGTTTTCTTTCGCAATTTGAACTTATTTTATGAGTTCTATATATTTGCAGCTTATGTGCAGCAAATGAAATGTATTAATTTTCTTTGTTTTCTCTTTTTCCATTTTGTCCTTTCTGTATTTATTTATTGTGATATATATATATGTGTGTGTTTTTATATATATAGATATAAATATATACATATGAACTTTCAGTAGTAGGAAGAAATTTTTTTTATTAGTGCGCATATCCTAATTATATTTGTGGAACTTCCAGGCAGCGGACCTCGAGAAACTATTAAAAAATCTAAGAAAAAGACCAACTTGAATCATAGCCCCCACCCGGGCAAACATCTACATGTTTTTTCAACAAAAGAAATTTTTTTTTTTAAATAAGCAAGTTTAAAACTTATTTGGCACCTTAGAAACTGTAGTTGGTGTGACAGATCATGATACGGAAACATCCCCTTGTATATATTTAAATAACGAGTTGAAGAATATTTTTTGAGCGCTTAAAAAGTGCTTAACCGCTTCCCTGATTATCCAGAGTTAATTCTGGTATGTGTTTATTCCAAATATTTATTAACACGAGAAAACTCGAGGGTAACAGAATTCGTCAATATCTTTTGTTTTGTCACGTTTTCACTCGGCCGGAAGCAAAGCAGAAACTAATGATAATCTGCTGAGATGGGAAGTTTGCCGCTTTTTGTTTAGGAGTTTTACTGTTTGTGGAACTGTAGACTCGTTTTGTTTTGTGCAATTGTGTATACGGTGGTTGCTGAATTTACATAGAAAAAAAAGTAAAAACAAATGACGTTCGCGAGCGAAAGTGAAAGTAGTGTAGATGATTTTTCAGATTATGAAGATGTGAGCATATACAAAGACTATCATATTTAACTTTTTTCATTTGCCCGAGACTACTTGGGATAGTTAACTTATGGTAAATTAAGTATTTTTTACACGCAAAAAAATTACAATTTTAACTTAGAACTTGTTTATTATGCTATGTTTTAGTTCCTTGTATTTATTAATGAAATAAGAAAATATATTGATTTTTTGCATTTTTTTTCTTCAAAAAAATTGGCAAGGTAAGTGGTTAAGCACTTTTTAAAAACGCTATGCGCCCTGTTTTCTCTCTGAAAGAAAATTAACACATTAATTCATAAACAAAATGAAAAGCTATATTCTAAATTAATTTCAGGCATTTCTTGCAACTGAAGTGTTTCCCTGTTTTTATTTGCAAGTATTTCAAAAGTGTATCATTGGAAGAATATCAACAAAGACTTTTAATGGATGAGAAGTTAAGGAACAATGAAATGAAATTCCGAAATTCCGCATTGAGTAAGTTTTGCTTCAATTCAATAATATTTGTTACCTTAGTTTCTAAATGATTTGATGTCTATGTACATTTTTGCTATTCAATTGTTTCTGTAAATGCTCCTTTTGCACATATTATATATTTATCTATGCCCATGAGGCAATTCAGAATGAAAGAAAAGAGAAAATTTAAAGGAAAAGTTAAAAATTAAAGAGTTTTATTTCACTAATTTTATATTATATGGAAATATTGGGGGGGGGGAGGAAATGAAAATGTCAGGGAAGATATTTTAGAAAAAAAGTCAGGGAAAATTCAATTGAACCTGAAACAGTAAATGAATTAACCCTCTATAATTTCAAAATGCGACATGTTTTTGTGTTTGCTTTGCTTTACCCTTACTTATGTATAAATATGTTTCCTAGAAATCCAATTATGATTTAATATTGCTTTCATGTTTTATGTCTCCATTCAGTAATTGTGTTTTTAATAAATAAATAAAATAAAATGAAAAAATTAATTTTAATTTAAAGAAAGATTTGATTGTTTTTCAGGGTGGCCACCCACCTGGAAAACCTGGAATTATTAGAGAATTGTTTAATGCTAGAAAAACTTGGAAAAATCAGGGAAATTTTAAAAAAACCTGGAAAAATCAGGAAATTTTAAAGAAAGGATAGGAATTTTTTCTTCAATTTTTTTAACTCTATTGTACTCCCATCCAAAAAAATTTGTGACTCAATTTTTCTCGGCAGAGCCAACCAATCACACATTTTCTGCAATGTTTTGTTGACAAATTGTTTCATTCATTCTAATTTTCTCGATTTCATTTTAACCTATTATAACATATTTTAATTTTGAACAAAGTTTTTTTGAAGAACTAACTATATATTAATATTTAATTTCACTGTTTTGCTATTAAATATTTGATTTTTGATTCAAAATTCTAATTGTATAGTAACAAAATTCACAAGATCGAAAATTGAAAAATGTTGCTTGCATTCCAGGGATATTTCCAAAACTATTTCCCCTTTTACCCTAAAAAACTAACAAAGACTAAGGAATGTATAGGAAACATATTAAATGATGTATGAACATAAAATTAAAAAAAATTTCCATTCATATGTGTTTATTAGGAGGAAGGAAAGCGAAACTTTGTCTTTTTGTTCAGTACTGAGCAGTTGCAAGTTTCTAGTTGAAAAAAAAACAAAGCCAATTAGCTATGCTAATTAAAAAAAACGTGTGTTTAGATTGGAATTCTGTAAATATTTTAAATTCGAAGAAAAAAAAGTATAAAGTTTAAAGAATTTTATCTTTTTTTCTATTGAGTATGCAACAAGAAATTAGACAATTTTGCATTTGTGACATTCATTATTGTATACTGAATCTCTTAAAATAATATTTTGTTAAAAACAATATTACTATTTAAAAATTTGACTTGAGATATTGGTTGGAAGAAATTATGATCAATGAATTTTATAAAAAACACTGTTTAGATGAAATACAGTATAAAATGGCTTTATATTGAAATGTAAATACAGTGACTCACAAAAGTATTCGCACACTTATGACTTTTAATGAAATAAGACAATCCATTAATTAAAATGAATATTTCAGAATGAATATTTAATAATCAAAAATATATTCTACTCTTAACTAAATTGTATGAAAATTTTAAAAACAACACAAGATTTTATTTTTAAGAAATCAATCATCAAAAAGTAACAAAAACTTTATTTCACTAAAGTCATTGTATACTTTCAAAAGATTTTTCCTCCTGCAGTAAATATTCTAATTTTTTGTTAAAATAACTTTCAGTAGAGTTTCTTTTCGCATCTACAATAGCTATTAAAAGTCTGTAAATAAATGTTTTTTTTTTTTTTTTTTTTTTTTTTTTTTTTTTTTTTTTTTTTTGGTCAGGGGAAAACTTGAGTGAAATATTTTTTTTTTTTATTAACATTTTACAGAAACTTTTACATCACTCAATTGCGAATTTATGAATTTTTCCACAAATTTTATAATTTTATCTCTGATATGAAGTAATTCTTACAAGCATTTCATCTCATAATACACTGTGGAATAGGCCACAATAAACTAATTTATCAATATTCATTACTGATTTACCTAGTATGATGACAAATGACTTTCAAATGTTGTCTATTGTTTTTTTACAACTACAAGCCATTTTTAAATGTTAAAAGAAAATATTATGGAGTTAGCTAGTAAAAATTATAAATATAATTTAGCTATCATAAGTTTCATAATAAATTGTAAATAAATGAACAATTGAATGATAAATAATTGAATAAGAAAATTAAAGCAATGGAGGNGACATTCATTTTTGTATACTGAATCTCTTAAAATAATATTTTGTTAAAAACAATATTACTATTTAAAAATTTGACTTGAGATATTGGTTTGAAGAAATTATGCTCAATGAATTTTATAAAAAGCACTGTTTAGATGAAATACTGTATAAAATGGCTTTATATTGAAATGTAAATACAGTGACTCACAAAAGTATTCATACACTTATGACTTTTAATGAAATAAGACAATCCATTAATTAAAATAAATGTTTCAGAATGAATATTTAATAATCAAAAATATATTCTACTCTTAGCTAAATTGTATGAAAATTTTAAAAACAGCACAAGAGTTTTTTTTTAAGAAATCAATCATCCAAAAGTAACAAAAACTTTAGTTCACAAAAGTCATTGTATACTTTCAAAAGATTTTTCCTCCTGCAGTAAATATTCTAATTTTTTGTTAAAATAACTTTCAGTAGAGTTTCTTTTCGCATCTACAATAGTTATTAAAAGTCTGTAAATAAATGTAATTTTTTTTTTTTTTTTTTTTTTTTTTTTTTTTTTTTTTTTTTTTNTTTTTTTTTTTTTTTTTTTTTTTTGGTCAGGGGAAAATTTGAGTGAAATATTTTTTTTTATTAAAATTTTGCAGAAACTTTTACATTACTCAATTGTGAATTTATGAATTTTTCCACAAATTTTATAATTTCATTTCTGATATGAAGTCGTTCTTATAAGCATTTTAACTCATAATACACTGTGGAATAGGCCACAATAAACTAATTTATCAATATTCATTACTGATTTACCTAGTATGATGACAAATAATCAACTTTCAAATGTTGTCTATTGTTTTATTATGACTACAAGCCATTTTTAAATGTTAAACGAAAATATTATGGAATTAGCTAGTAAAAATTAAAAATATAATGTAGCTATCATAAGTTTCATAATAAATTGTAAATAAATGAACAATTAAATGAAAAATAATTGAATAAAAAAATTAAAGCAATGGAGGATAATTTTAATTCGAAAATCCGAAACATTTAAGTGTACGATGATTTTTGTGGGGTAAAATTTTTGTTACTTTTTGATTGATTTCTCAAAAATACAGTTTTGCTTTGTTTTTAAATATTCCATGCAGTTTTACTAAGAATAGATTATGCATCTTATTATTAAATACCCATTCAGAAATATTCATTTTAATAAATGAATAGTTCCCTATTTCAATAAAAGTTATAAGTGAGCGAAATTTTCTATAAATATAAAAATTTATTGATGTATAATCATTTGAAGTGGTTTTTTTTTGCTTATTGAAAATATATGTTAAGCAATAGTTATCCAAGGGTGTTTTGGTCATTCTGCACTTGCCATTTGGAAGGTACACTTTAAGCAAAAACTACTTTAAGTAACACATTAAAAATATTTTATTCAATAAAAACAATATAATAACAGGCTAAACATACTGTTTTTTCCATGTATCTTAATTTTTTTTTAAAATTTGTATTGTTTCAAAACATTAAAAAATAAAATCTTGCCAAATTGTTCAAATAAATTTAGTCTAATTATTTTTTCACAATGATATATCAAAAAAAAAATAACGTTTTAAATAAAATACTTTATACTATCAAGACTTTTCTTGTACCCATCCTGAGGAGGAAAAGAAAAACACGCTGACCTGGAAAAATCAGCGAACTTTGAAACCTGATTTGAGTGACCACCCTGCTTTTGCACTTGCATGAAAACAATAACATAATGCAATGTCTAGCAAACGATATGTCACAATATAAAATTTCTTGCATCGCCCAGTCCTAGTCCTAATATTGTGGAGCCTTAACCTATTTGACCTTCTTGGCCATCAACTAACTGTTGCAGAAGTGCTTCACTTTATCCGTACTTATGTACAAATATGCTTCTTAGAAATCCAATTGTGATTTGATATTGCTTTCTTGTTTTATGTTTCCATTCAGCAATTGTGTTTATGATAAATAAATAAAATAAAGTTAAAAGATTTTTTTTTTTTTTTTTTAAAAATGGGTAATTTTAATGTTTACACTTGCATGAAAATTTGATGAATTTTATTACAAAATATAGAAATTTCTCTGTTATGAAAAAAAAACATTTTTTTTAAAAGTAGAAATAGTTTTTTTAATGTTATAATGTGGGGATAGTTGTTATCTACCATGTCAACCTTCATCTATGAAAAGGTATCCCACCATACAATCGAGTTAATATGTCTTATATACACTAGTGAATTGGAATTATATTTTTGTAGTGGTAGAAGCACTATGGTTACCCCCTCCAGAATTATATCTGTGATAGAATTCAATGAACAGATACCACTAGTTGGTTCATTGCTGTTTTTTTTGTGAGAAGCCAGGAGAGCTGTATTAAGATCACCATACTTTTGAGAGCTGTATTAAGTTCACGGTCGTGGTCGCTCCTGTATTGCCTATAGCAGTCGAGTGTATATGTTGTACGTTGTGTGTGATACTAGTGCATTGGAATTGTATTTTTGTAGTGGTAGAAATACTGCATAATTTGCGTACAATTATTAATATTTTATTTATTTATAGGGAAATGTAATTCTTTGATAGATTGTGAAAACAGAGGCTTGCTGAAAGCTGAACAAAAAGAAGATATGTTCTTCATGTGGAAGAAAAAGTTGAATCTATGGGCAAGAATTCAGCGAACATGGAACTACAGAATTTCTGTACAAAAATTGGCGTTAAGAGATCAATATATTTCCAGGTATTTACGAAAATAAATTTTTCGTAAATAATTATACTTATGTCTCTAATTTTTTTGAAAAATTATTAATATTCTTTAAAGAATGTTATGTTCAATCCTTTTTATTGACATTTTTACTTTTCTGTTTTATTTTGAAATAAAAAATGCAATGAAAACCTTTTTTTTTTCTTCTTTTTTTTATCTCACTATTTCTATGGTCAACAATCCAATTTACTTTTATAATACTGTGGAATCCTGATTTTTACTTTTTCTGTTGGACTAGCATTAAACAACACACGAAGTGGAAAAACTTATAAATCAGCGTTTAAAAAAATCCAGCATATTTTGTGACCATTTAAGAAAAACTTGTAATTTTACTTGTTTTTTTTTGTGGGTGTTATTAGATATAATGTCAATACTTATTGTTGTTTGAAATTTTTTTTTTTGTTTAGTTAGTTATTTTATCATGATCATGTAAATCCTTTGAAAATTATTTTGCATTTTGTTAATGTATATAGTGCATAAAAATATTGTTTTTTAGTGCTTAAAAGGTGCTTATTTTTGTTAAAAAAAATTGGCTACACACCCTGTTATGATTCTAACAGAGTAAAAACGTATATTTTTAGTCATAGCTTAATAAGCAACATGTTTTCATCATGGGTTTAAAAATAATAAATGAATACCAAAAATATAAAAAAAAACTGGAATAGTCAGGGAAAGTTGTATTTTTTGTGTTACGAAACTCTGTAAAGTTCTTACCTTATACCTGGAAAATAACCAACCAGTTTTGGAATTGTCAGTAAAAGTAATCGGTTATTGAGATTTGATTTAAATCATCTTAATACCTATTACAGTTATTTGTGATAGAAATTCTACTTGGTGAAACTTTTCCCTTCTCATTCAATGATAGTTTTCTGCTCACAAAATCTAATGTCCTTACAAATCATTACAAATAAGATAATCTAAGTTTTTCGATGAAATTTTTTTTTTTAATATTGATAAAATATGGTCTGATTTATGTGGAAATTTTCCTGATATATCAGAAAAGGCCAGGGATTTTTTTTCTGAAATTACGTGGGAACCCTGGAAATTTGCCCCAAAATTTAAATCTTAGAATTATATCTAAAATGAGATAATGAATAAATAAATGAACTCCTAGATCAAGTATTGGGTGAAATTTGCCTTCTTGGAGGACTTTTTGATGGAACTCACCCGCATTTGCGTTACATGGAGAGGAAAACTACGGAGTCAGACGCAAGGGGGCTCTAACCCATGATCCGTCTACCACTGAGGATATTTCACGTCAGCACTGTGGTCGGTGCGATCCGGATGCGAAATGCAAATGCGTATCGACCAGTCATTGCTTGGATTCGAGCCCGGTTTACCTCATTGGAAAGCTAATGCTCTATTCCCTGATAAAACAAGTATTTTGTCTGAGCAAATTGCATCAGTCTTTCCTTTTTCATTGTGTATGAGTTTATTTAAGTAATTATTTCCTGCCAACATTATATATTTCTTAATGTAAAAAAAGAAATTTAATTTATTTAACCATTTAATTATTAGCAGCTTAGGGTTCCCACAGGTCAGGGAGAACCTAGAATTGTTGAGGGAATTTTATTATTAGAGAGAAGCCAGGGAAAGTTGCAATTTTTTTACAAAAACCTGGAATATTTCTATATCATACCTGGAAAATAACCAGTCTTAAAATTGTCAGTAATAGTAATCAGTTATTGAGATTCGAGTTAAATAATTCTTACATCTATTACAATTATTTGTTGTAAAAATTTCACATATTAGTCAAATGTTCCCTTCCTCATTTAAAAAAAATAAAAAAAAAAATTTACACTAAAAGTCTTATATTTCACATTACAAATAAAAGAATTAAAGTTTTCTCATGAAAATAGGGTCTCAATTTTCATTGAAATTTACCTGCTATACCTGAAAAGTCAGGATTTTTTTTTGAAATTGAGTGGAAATCCTGAAAGGAGATAAAATTGTTCTTTGAACAAAGAAGTTAATTTACATAGAAACATAATTCTATCCTCTAATTGCTCTTATTGATGATTATTTTTTGTCAAAAGGTTGACATTGCTTCTGCAAGCAAGAAATGGAGAGTTTTATCTATTAAATACTTCATCTCTTTGCACAGATTGGTTTAAGTTTAATCTAAACAACAGCGAAGGTAACTGTTATTTCTTCGAAGGCTTAAACGTTTTGCATAGATTGGAGCAAAATAGGTAAGCAAACCTGATTTATTTTGAACTCAATTTTGATAAATATTTTTATTTTAATAGTTTTACAGCAAACATACTTCAGTAGCTGTTTTGTAAAAAAGTTACCACTTCGATTGTTACCACTTCAAAAAAGTTAACCTAAAAGTTAAAGTTTTGTAAAAAAGTTGCTTCTATAGACGATCGTAACTCTTGAATACACCGCCTGGGGAGAAGATCGGTTCCTTCTCCTCCTCTTTTCAGTTGTACAGGAATGTACTACTTCCTTTTCTTAATATTTTTCGTATTTAATTGTCAAAAATATTTTATTAAATTTCCATGCTGCTTTTTTTACAACTATGTTCAATGAAGTTTTCAGTTCCATATAGTTTCCTAACTTAAAAGATTTTAGTCTATATGAAAATCAAGACAGAAACTACTGCACTTCCTTCTCCTATGACTCTCCACACGCTAATGATGATAGCATGTGAAGTGTTGCCATAGGTAGAGAGTTCTGCTCTACGCCACCTGCAGCCCATTTCAGTCACCAATTCCAAATGAGTTTTTGGTGGATTGGTAAAAAGTTAAGTTCAGTTCCATTTCCCATCATGAGAATTCTATAGAATAACATATATGTACAAAAATATATTTTGGTCTTGAATAAATTTGCATTTTCTTATTTTAACATTATTTAAGTTATATTTATCTTTTTTTGCCAAAATATTNGTACTGTATTTTTCGTATTTTATTGTCAAAAATATTTTATTAAATTTCCATGCTACTTTTTTTACAACTATGTTCAATGAAGTTTTCAGTTCCGTATAGCTTCCTAACTTAAAAGATTTTAGTCTATATGAAAATCAAGACAGAAACTACTGCTCTTCCTTCTCCTATGACTCTCCACACGCTAATGATGATAGCATGTGAAGTGTTGCCATAGGTAGAGAGTTCTGCTCTACGCCACCTGCAGCCCATTTCAATCACCAATTCCAAATGAGTTTTTGGTGGATTGGTAAAAAGTTAAGTTCAGTTCCGTTTCCCATCATGAGAATTCTATAGAATAACATATATGTACAAAAATATATTTTGGTCTTGAATAAATTTACATTTTCTTGTTTAAACATTATTTAAGTTATATTTATCTTTTTTTGCCAAAATATTGAACGTCATTCAATTAATATTTCAATTAATAAATGTAAAATCTGTTACCCTTATCTGGAAAAAAGGTAGATGTGACACCCCTAACTCTCATTTTTTATTTTATCCATCGTTGAACAGCCGACCTAATTTTAGGTTTACGACTACTAATGTTCAACTCAGCAACCTTGTCATTTTGAACCAATCCAAAAGACAAAAGAACTCCTGGATCAGTACCCCCAAAGGTATTGATTTGTTATGGGAACATGGAGGACTTCGTGACCCGACAGATTTAACGTGCATCAATCCCCACTTACTACACGGGGAGTCTTCGGTTGGCAGGGATCGAACCCACGATTTTTACTGGATAAATTTAACATTTTCAGCTTTTTTTCTAGAATTACTTGAGAGGCCACACGTTGATTTTGTAGTTTACTTGAAAAAATGCTTAAATTGACTTTTATATGTGCTTTTTTTAATGATCCTTTTTTGTATTTCTGTATAATTGTTTCATTATTTCTATATTTTTTCCAGGTATCCTAAATTATTTCAGTATCTTAAAAATTTGTTGAAGGAAAACAAAGTAAGTTGCTTGCATATGCCATAGCTATAGCGCTTCCATTTTTATGTCTCCCTTTTTGAGTCAACTATGAGTAAAAAATTATGATTAAAAAAATTTTAATTTTGAATGATTTTTAAATATTATTTTAAGAGTGAAAAGCAAATGCATTAGTTATAAAGGCATTAATACATTATCAGGGGTCCAGGGCATATTTACTAGCGTTTAACCTTCACAAGTTAAACTTTATAAAAACTGTAGTTTCACAAAACACTTTTAAAAAAGCAAGTTCTAATATGCTCCACCTCTTAGAATTTTGTTTTTGTATCCCCATAAAAAAAACTATAAATTCCAGAGTTTTATAAAATCAAACAACGAGGTTCTCTCTAGCACCGTTAAATACAAGTCGAAATTTAAATATGGAGGTTGTTTTTTTAAATTTGGATGCAATTTTAAGCTCTAAATTTTACCATAGCAAAATTATTTTTTAATATATGGGGAAATTTACCAGTCATGACTGATTTCTATGTGTAGTGACAATTTTTAAAAATAATTTCTTATTTTACCATATTTTTGTATTGATTTTTTAATGTAACTTTTAATTTTCACAAATTATGTCGTAAGTCTCCTTTTGAAATAGGTACCTCTCAAAAAAACCTATCACATTTGTAAAATCACAACCTATCACAATTTGTCGTAAAAACCTATCACAAACCACTATTTACCGAATTTTATGAAGTGGAAACAATGAATAGCGACACAAAAGTTGATGATAATGAATTTTATATAAGAATTTCATAGCTGCCAACTCTACTGGATTTTCCAGACTACTGAATTTTTCCAGTTTCTGGTTTAATTAAAATTCTCCTAGCTCTTGTAAATTCCCTAAAATTTAGTAAGTTTCCTAAAAAAAAATCCCTATTGAAATAGAATTTTTGTGCAAATTATTGTTTGAATGTTTAAATAAGTATTACTGATGCATAATGAAGCGAACCTCATTTATAGAAATCAGTTCAAAAACTTTTATTGTTCTAAAATGTTCAGTTTATTTTTATTCAGAGCTCTTTTTTTAAATTAATAAAAGAAAAATCTTTTAACTATCTTTGATGAATTGTATTCATTTGTTCATTGATTATTGCATTCATTCTAAGTATGTTGAATGTCCATCATTATTGGAAAGTACTGCTGTTTTTCTATTCTGATGACTATGAAAATTCCTAAAATTCCCTATATGCAAAATATTTGGTACATTATGCAAAAATTTTCGTGAAATTTATATTACATGGTGCGTAGCACTTTTAAAAACTGCTCAAAGTTGCTTATTTTCGACTTTCGTTTTTTAAAAGCCCTTAAAAGTATTTTTTTCTCTCTTTTTTTTAGTGTTTTGAAAAAGTGCTTGATTTTCCCTTTTCGAAAATGATATTTTTTTTCTTTACCATGTCGATTTTCGGCACCTATTATGCAAAAGCGTGCTTTTCACAATATTCAATTCAAAGTATTCACAATTCATTCAACCACAATGCATATCGGCCGACCGTCAGTCCATAGCGTATGAAAGCATCAATCCTTTAACATGTTTGATGAAATACTTGCGAGTCCTCGTGTGCATCTACTAAGCTGAGTTTGGTGAGATTATTGCGCTCTCAACTGCAACTCTGTTGCATTTTGCAAGATATTCTCAATTTCAAGCTTCATTTTCTGGCCTCTGAAATCAAACCAAAAAACCTCTCAATCATTTTTTAATGGCTAATATAATCAAGAAAAGAGTTCTTTGTTATAAACTGGTTATTCTATCATGATCATCTAATGTCTTAAAGAATTATTTTGCATTTTGTTAATGAATATGAGGCTTAGAAATATTCTTTCTGTACTTAAAAGGTGCTTATTTTTTAATGAAGATTTCGCCCTGATTCGATAATTTGTTTTCTTATATTTGCTGTTTGAATGTTTTTTTTTTAAATTTTATTGAACTTATGTTTAGGTAACTAAGATTGAGCAAGATTTTGTTTACCAATTGGGTTTTGATGGAATGACGAAAAAACCTTCTAAAATAACTGAAGTTGATTTTCATCCCTTCATCTCTATTCATTTCCAGTCTCTTTTATCAGTGATTAAAGTGAGTATTATAAATTACACTTTTGCTTTGACTATCTTAACGTAATATCAAAATTTCAAAGTAAGATCAAGAATTAAAAAGTTTTATTTCACTAATTTTATTTTATATGTATTTATTTATTTTTTTTTTTTTTGGTATGTTTGACTGCACAAGAAATGTCGGGGGGAGGGAGTGTGGAAATGTCAGGAAAAATGATTTTTGAGAAAAAAGTATGGGAAAAACAATTCTATCTAAAAACCGGAAACGGTCAATGAATTAACCCTCTATAATTTCTAAATTTGAGGTATTTCACGCTTTTTTTTGTGGTTACATTAAATAATTTAAAATCAGGGTTGCCACTCCACAAGGAGAATAGGGAAAACCTGGAAATTACAGGGAATTTAAAAATCACCTAAAATAACAGGTAAAATGTAAGGAATTTTGGAATTTTCTTTAAGAATTAGGAAAATAAAAGTAATTTTTATTTTCTCCATTTATTATTGGTTTTCAAATAATGTAAAAAATATTATTTTATCATCTTTTGACATTTTTTCCATCTTTTCTGACAAGAGAAGACTCACTGCTGACCACCCCCCAAGAGCATCTATTCTTAGAATTGTCTTCCTTATCTCTTAAGAAGTCACAGATGTAACAGTCATGAGTGATTTCATATTCCTTCATGTTAAAAGATGATCATGAGTCACAAATGACCACAAGCATCACATTAACACCTGAGAGAGACTTTTCTTCCATAGAGGGTGGGTGGAGCACCATTCACGAATTAAAATGATTTTCGTGCTTTGGACTCGATGCATAATTTGTAGGTTGACTTGACAGTCAAAAAAGTGAATAAGCAAAAATATCAGATTATTTTCAGTAAGAACGGTTTTCAGGTATGTTCACGATCTTATTTTCTGAATTTATTTCAATTGTTTTTAATATTTTTAACCATAATTACCAATCTGCATATTAATTTTTTGCATAATATTTAATACATATATAACATTAAAATTTTTAAAAAAATCTTGTGTTTCCAAAGTATGTAGGCCCTTCTTATCTCTCTACAATAATATATTTATTTAGTCCCCAAAATATTGTTGTAACGAGTTTTTACTGTATATTGAACCAGTGTTTTCACTGCAGCGCGAGAAAGCGAGAATCTCGCATATTTTTTTATATTCTCGCATTAAAAAATTATCACCGCGAGAAATTCGCGCATTCTATAAACCAATTTCAAAATTCGCGAATTTATCGCATTTTGAAAAAATTTTCTCATTTGCGCCATTTAGAATAAAATCCGTTTCACTTTTCTTCCTGGATCTTTTATTATTTTCAACATCTGCCCCATTATCTAGCTTCCCTATTTACCAGTATTGTTCAGAACCTTTAAGAACAACAGAACACCATCCTTCCGAACCACGGAACCTCTTTCAGAACGCATTTCTCTGCAACCACGTNTTTTTTTTTTTTTTTTTTTTTTTTTTTTTTTTTTTTTTTTTTTTTTTTTTTTTTTTTTTTTTTTTTTTTTTTTTTTTTTTTTTTTGGTATGTTTGACTGCACAGGAAATGTCGGGGGGAGGGGTTGTGGAAATGTCAGGAAAAATGATATTTGAGAAAAAAGTGTGGGAAAAACAATTCTATCTCAAAACCTGAAACTGTCAATGAATTAACCCTCTATAATTTCAAAATTTGAGGTATTTCACGCTTTTTTTTGTAGTTACATTAAATAATTAAAAATCAGGGTTGCCACTCCACAAGGAGAATAGGGAAAACCTGGAAAATACAGGGAATTTAAAAATCACCTAAAATAACAGGTAAAATGTAAGGAATTTTGGAATTTTCTTTATGAATTAGGAAAATGAAAGTAATTTTTATTTTTTCCATTTATTATTGGTTTTCAAATAATGTAAAAAAATCGTATTTTATCATCTTTTGCCATTTTTTCCATCTTTTCTGATAAGAGAAGACTCACTGCTGACCACCCCCAAGAGCTTCTATTCTTAGAATTGTCTTAGAATTTATCTCTTAAGAAGTCACAGATGTAACAGTCATGAGTGATTTCATATTCCTTCATGTTAAAAGCTGATCATGAGTCACAAATGACCACAAGCATCACATTAACACCTGAAGGAGAATTTTCTTCCCTAGAGAGTGGGTGGAGCACCATTAACAAACGAAAATCATTTTCGTGCTTTGGACTCGATGCATACTTTGTTGACTTGACAGTAAAAAAAATGAATAAACAAGAATATCAGATTATTTTCAATAAAAACGGTTTTCAGGTATGTTCACGATCTTATTTTCTGAATTTATTTCAATTGTTTTTAATATTTAACTATAATTACCACTCTGCATATTAATTTTTTGCATAATATTTAATACATATATAACATTAAAATTTTTAAAAAAATCTTGTGTTTCCAAAGTATGTTGGCCCTTCCTATCTCTCTACAATAATATATTTATTTAGTCCCCAAAATATTGTTGTAACGAGGTTTCACTGTATATTGAACTGAATACATATTTTGCTTCTTATTTTTGTCTTTTCAAAAATGGTGAAGACTCAAAGTATGTACAGAAGTTTAAGGAGGATATTTCAACTATTTCATTTACTATAGCATTATTTAAGTATGTTCAGCTATTCCATTTTTACTGTAAGTTTTTCCAGCAATTAAAAATAGTACAGCTAGACCTATATACCTCTCACATTTGCACGGTGATTGTGTGTTTCTTCTTAATATAGTGTGTATAACATGTGCAGGGAAAACACGGGGAATTTTTTTTCTCCAGATTTAAGTGGCAACCCTGGTATTGATTATCAGAAGTAATATTCATCATCTAACTGTAAAAGTTTAGTTATTATTCTAATGAAGTAAAAAAGCATATTTTGAGTCATAGCTTAATAAGCAACCTGTTTTCATTATGGGTTTTTAATATTCAGGAATATACAGGAAATATAAAAATTATCTGAAATAACAGGGAAAATGTAAGGAATTGTGAATTTTTCTTTATGAACTGGGAAAATAAAAGGAATTTTTATTTCTTATTTGCTTCTTTTAAACAATGTTGCACAACAATGTTCTTTTAAACAATGTAACTCTCAAAGTGCAATCTATGGAATTTTTAGAGATAGTTCAATTATATTATATTATTTCATGTGCTGTATTATATTGTATTGTGTATAATATAGTGTGTAATATACAGGGAAAATACGGGGAATTTTTTTCCAAATTTGACTGCTTATATTGATAACAAGATTACATCTTTTTGTTAAAATTTAAAATTATTTTTTTTTAATTTTTCCAGATTTTTATTCTTTTTCAAAATTTGTATTCTTTGATTAGTATTTTTTTATTTTATTTACTGTGTTCTTTTTTTTTTTGTGTAACTTTCTTTATGTACTTGCAGCTTATGTGTAAATATAAAACATAATTATTCTATGTAATTTATTTTTTCTTTTATTCTTAATTGTTTACTATTGTTGTTATTATTATATATATGTATATAAAACAGAAAAATGAAACTCTAACAGGTTTGCTGCAGGTGACTAAAATGCGACTATATGAAACTATTTTCGACCTGATTCGACTATAACAACTGTTTTTGGCTGAAAAAGCAACTATTTTCAGGAAAAGAAGACTATTGGGAGAATTTTCTGTACATCTAGTGATGTTTTTTTTTTAGCATGGATTGGGTTGACAACATGCAGCCTTGACACTGAATTTTTTTTTTCTTAAGAAATATGAAATATCTGAATTGCAAATTCTATCTGATTGATATATCTGATTGCACAGATTCCATCTTAAGTCTATTTTGTCTCTCGATCGCCTTTTCAACGTTTATAGCCACTAAATTCTTCATCATTTTAAAAAACCATGCATAAATTTCGAATATGAGTAATCACTTTTCACAATATACAGTAGAGTCCCGGTAGTCCGAGGCCCGGTTATCCGAGTTTCAGCTTTAACCGAGCTATTAAATATTTTAAGGTTTTTTTTGTTCTATTTTATTTTTAAAAATACCGCCAAAAAATAAATCTGAATTTTATCTTCCAAACACTGGGGAAAACAAAATCTAACAACTTGATCCCATGAAATGATCGTTAATATCGTCAATAAGAAAAATGAACCTAGGGAAGATGATGAAAATCAACATATAAAAATCTCTCACGCAGATGAACTTAAAGCTGTCGAAAATGCTACTGATTACATAGAACAACAAAAAGAGGCGACACCAGCCTTCCTGTTATCCCTAAAAAATAGCGAAACATTGCTGCAGAAAAGCACCAAAGTTATGTCAAACAAAAAACGATTAAGGACTTTTTTTAAGTAAAAACTCTTTAATTCTCGCAAAGTATACTTTTTAAATTTTTTCAAGTAAGCTTTTTAATAATAATAGGAATTGTATGTGGTGTACTCGTATAAATTTTATATTTCTTAAATATATTTCATTTATACCAACTCTTTTCCTTTCTTTTTTTATACTCTTCGTTTTAACCAAATTTTTCAGTTATCCGAGTTAGTCGTGGTCCACATTAACTCGGATAATCGGGACTCTACTGTATATATATATATATATGTAACATAAAAAGCTTCAATTAATCTTTTTATGTTTCTTTTATAAAACTTCATCCTAATTAATTATTCTAATCGAAATACTTTCTCACACTTTTAAAAGCCACATCCTGTTCTTAAATCTATTTTTGGCTCAAGTATGCATTTAATTAAAAGCAGGACATTTTCCCCTTTGCTCTGTGTGGGGAACATTCGATCTATTTCATAAACCAATAGCAACTACTAAGATTTCCCTCTTTCCCTAAATCAAGACATTTTACGGATTTTACTTTGCAAGATTTTCCCTAACATATAACCAAGGAGCGCAACTTTTCGTGTGCACTTTTTACACTTTTCTCATGACTGCACTGTCTAATAATTAATAAATAAATTTTGTACCCTCTTTGCCGACCTATGACCTGTTTTAATCCTTCCACTCGGCAACGACGTTATATATATATATATTCATATACATACATATGCACGGGCACACACATATTTGCTTAATCAATTATTGATAAAAGAGAAAAAAATTTTAGAAAAAGTGTGTGTTTTTTAATGAAAAATTATTTTAATTAGTGAATTCTAATGATTAAAAGTATTTATTTTTCTGCAAATATACTAATTGTTTTGATATGAAAATGTAATGCTAGAACACTAACGTTTATATAAAAATTATTATATTTGCCACCCACTTGACTAAATGGATCATGGTATATGACAATTAAGTATTTAATAGTATTTTAGTCATATTTTTGATGAATTTTTGTTCATAATTAGACAACTATTTTCATGCTTAAGGCTACTAAAAGCACTATTTTGTTCATTTTTTTTTAGTGGCAACCTTGTATTAGAGATAGAAAACTTCTTACAAGAAATTTTAACATATTCTTGGTATTTAAAATCAAATAGGAAGAAGGATTAATTGGATTCAATTCTTTTCTTAAAATATTATTTACTGTTTTAACTGATGATTGTGTTATTATTTTTGAATGTTTTTTTTTTTTATATTAAAGTTTCAAATTAAATTCTGCAACTCAGAAATTAGCGTAACCATATATCCAGGGGTCTGTCCAGACATTTTGTGAAAGGTCCTGTTTTTGTAAAATTGTGAAAAAAACTATTCATAATTTGTGAACATAAAATAAGCATTAAGTCACATTCTTTCAACCAGTGTCCTGCTTTTGTGAATTTGTGCAAATGGGATCGTGTTATTGCAAAAATTACTAAAAACCTTTTCAGGAAGTTTTTAAATTGTAAATTGATACAAGATTCTGCTCAACAATTGCTGCTACTAAATTACAGATAGCAACATACAAATATTTGGTATTTAGCCTATACTGCTCAACACAGAATATTCATTTAGGACAAATAATGGAAACAAAATCACTCATATTTTTAATCATTTCAATTGACATATTTTAAATATTACAACTTAGTTATGTATCAGTTTTAATGTGTTACGCATTAAGTAAATTTAAACAATTCTTAAGTTTATAATATTTTAATTTAAGAAATTTGCCAGAAATTAATTTTTATTTACATAATGTTCTATTAATTAATTTTATGAATAAATATAAATTGATTAATTATTTATTTACAAAAAAAATTATCATATATCAATAAGAATGTGCACGCGATGTTTGTAATATAGATAAATATGGAAATATTTCCTTGGAATACTACATTTGGAAATTAAACTTAGGGAAACTTGGAAAACTTAGTTCGTTTCGAACTGTATTTCTGCCCCCCCCCTACCCGGGAAGGATTTATTCAATTAGCAAAACAATAATGAAGATGAACAAATTTGTGAAGGGTCCGATTAAAAGATAAATTATTTTGTGAACGGTCCTTTTTCATGAAAAGATATTTTGTGAAAGGTCCGTTAACGGACCCAAATTTCTTCTATACAGACCCCTGATATCGATTCGCTTATTACTTGTGAGTGGAGCATCAGAAATTATTCCTCTCCTGATCCCTGCATTTAATACCAAATTTTCATTTAATAATTCAAATTGAAACAAAGGGGAATTTTAATTAAATTAAANATTTTTAATGTCTTAATAAAGTTTGCCTCAAGTTTTTCAAAATTATTAAATCCAAAAGGGATTCCTATAATTATAAACTGTGTAATTACAGTATATGCTGAATGAATAGTTTACTCTGCATTCAGCACTATTCTAGCAGCAAAATAACTGGGGCTTTCATTGGATCCATATTCACGAATATTGGCTCGATAAGGTTTGAAAGGGCCGTTATTTTTTTACATTGGCTCTACGTAGAATTGTTCGATTCACCCAATAGTTTACAGCCCCTTCACCACCACAGAGGTGATAGTGCTCCGGAAAAAATCCGGATTTCTCGCAAACTGCGATTCGGAAGTGTCCGGAAATCTGAGGTCCAGAAGTTTTGAGAAACCGTCGATCACGTTTATGTATGAAAATTCTTGTATATTTTATTTACAAATATCAGAACTAGAATTGATTCTTGGCATCTCTTTCATTTGTAAATATTTTTTCAGGTAGAATAATAAATATGATTAGAGATAAAAGTAAACATATACATAATTATTCATTTAAATTATACATATAATTTATTTAGAATTTCATGTTTTGATCATATCAATGATTTAAATTTATAAAGGCATTATTTTTTTGAAATGCGTCATTACTGATTTTACTCAATAAATTTTCTGAATTTTTGAGTTTGGCCCACAATCACCCCTGCATCTAATTCCGGCATTATATAGAATTGTTAGATTCACCCGATATTCATTATTCGCCCCAGTACAGGCCATATGTAGGTCGATATATTGGCCCTATAAAGGAATATTAAAGAAATCTAGACATCCCAATATTTGTCCCTCTGTGCAGGTTCATAAAGGACCCATTTTGAGCCCCAACTGGGGTCAAGGCAGTGTTCGTGTTTGTTTTTTTTTTTTNTTTTTAAATCAAATTTTTTTGTTTTTATTCTAATACACTGTGAGAACTTTGATTTATGATTAAAAAAACTTTATATACGTTTAAACAAAATAAAATTAATATTCAAACTATATTATAACAATATTTTAGAAGCTCTAACTACCTAAAACAATTTTTCATTATAATACATGGCTTTGAATGTATAGCAACCATTGATGAAATAGAGAATTTAAACCCAATTTTGGCATGTTAGGATAATTTCTTTTTTATATAACCTCAATCTTCAGAAATATACATTTTCCACCAATTAAATATAATATAGATTTTAATTCCATGCTTTTTCAGTCAAAAGGTAGAATTTTAATTAACATTTTTTTGTGAAAAAAATTCATGTTTATTTACTACTGATTACAGCTATGCAAATCTATCTGTACTTTCAATCTCAAGAATCAAAAGATTTTTAAAAATGTAACTTCAAATGTACACACACCAAGAAAGAAAGTAATTTCATTAACTTAAAGTAATTAATGCAGCAATTTATTTAAAATAAATTTAAAGCACTGTTTTTTAACTTTTTAAATCAATATATGTATATAGCAAACCCTTGGTCAAGGTAAAATTGTTGCTAGGTCTGAATATTGAATACAGCACTGTAACTCATACCTTGTCATTGAAGTGTAATTTTATTTGCAGAAACCTAATGGTCGTGTGTCTTGCAAAGCCAAAGTCTTGCTTCATTATCGTTCAATACTGTATGTATGCGACGAGAGCATTCTTCATTCAGGAAATGTGCAGTTTGTAAAGGTGTTTCTCCCTCACCCTCCACCATTATTTCCAAAGTCTGCGGTGTGCATTACAGAAGCACTGGTCTTTCAAAGTATATCATTTTGTTCTTGTTTTATTTAATATCTTGATCATCTTCAGATTTACTAGAATTTTATGTTTTATTTACTATCTAGATCATCTTCAAATTTACCAACATTTTATACAACACCAGGCAAAGTGATTTTTCAGCACAGGATGTTAATTCAGTAATTATTTGAGAAAACAGGTTTATTTTTCCATTTAAGAAAAGTACTAAAAAATATTTTCCTAAGTGAAAGTTCCACTTTAGAAAAGGAAACTTTTTTCAAAACCCTTAAATATTGCTTTTTTCTTTCATTTTAAAATCTTAATTTTTTTTCTTCTCGATTTCTTTAAATGTCTTATTTTTTATTGAAAGGATGCTATAGTGTGGGAGAAACTTTTCATCACAAATTCTGTTTCACTTTCATTGATATTTAAAGTTTAGAGAAAAAGGAGTCCACATAAATCAAGACAAGAGTGAACCATGCATTTTGATTATTTGAAAACAGTTTTTCAGTATTTGGAACTTGTCTTGATTTATTTGAACTCTCCCTTATTTTAAATTACTTATGACAGAAAAAGAGAGATAAGCTATGGCATAGTAATTTGTTACTAAAGTGTGAAATCTATGCATATTATTCAAGTATCTCTAGACATGGTGCGTAGCGTTTTTAAAAAATGATTAAAGGTACTTATTTTCATTGGATGTTTTTAAAAAGTGCTTAATTTGACTTTTGCTATGTGCTTTAATTTGATTTGAAAAGTGTTTAAATGAGACTTTTTTTTCTTTATGATGTTAATTTTCACCACCTATTATGCAAAAGCGTGCTTTCACATTGTTCTTTACAATGTTTTCACAATTCATTCAACCACAATCCATTTTGGCATGCCGTCGGTCCGTAGCGTATGAAGGCACCAATCGTTTTACATGTTTGTTTAAATATTTGAGAGCTCTCATGTGCGTCTACTGAGCTGATTTCTGTAATATTATTGTTAGGCTTCATTTTCCACCCTTTGATATCAAACCGAAAAATCTCTTGATCTTTTTATAATGGCTAATATAATCAGGAAAAGATTTTTTTTGTCAGAAGCTAGTTATTTTATCTTGATCATGTAAAGTGTTGGAAAATTATTTTGCATTTTGTCAATGTATATAGTGCTTAAAAGGTGCTCATTTTTTGTTGAAAAATTTGGCTCTGTTAAAGCACATAAAGATTTAACAACTAACTAAGGGAAAATATCCAGCAAGTTTATTGTATTAATGTTTAAAAATGTTGTCAAAAGTAACAAAAGAATTGCCCAATATCTCTTTAATAATGCTAATTTGAAACATTATTATTTGAAGCATTAAACATTAGGTATTATTTTAAAGAAAATATATTATCAATGAATTTTATAAAGAGCACTCTTTGGATAAAATGCAGCATAAAATGGCTCTATATTAAAATGTAGATAAATACTAAATTTTATTGATAAATAATCGCCTTGAATTATTTTCTTTTGCCTAATGAAAATATATTAAGCAATACTTATGCAAAGTTTTTTTTGCTTACTCTGCATTTGCCATCTGGTACATTATATGGAAAAACTTATTAAAGTAACACATTAAAACCATTTTATTTAATAAAAGCAATATATTCTCTACAAGCTAAACATATTATTTTCTCCACATTTTTCTTGATTTTTTAAAAATGAATGTTGTACCCACACATTAGAAAAATAAAAAACAAAATCTTGCTAAGCTGTTAAAACAAAGTTAGTCTAGTTCTTTTTGCAAGAAAAGTAGAATTTTTTAAATTAAATGCTGTGGAGATAGTTATCGACAATGTCAATCTAAGGTACCCTGACATAGAATAGAGTCCTACTAGTGAATTGGAAACCCTTCCATAAGTAAAAGATTCAACGACACTTCGATTCTCGATCACATTCGGATTCATCGTGTCAGCAAAACAATGAGTCACAATGTAAAAAAAGATGACTGCGCACTTATTACGGAGGAAAATGCTCCTTTGCCCAATATTGCAGGCATTGATATATTATTGGGAACTATGCGTGTAGACAACGATTCATCGGGAAATATCATAAACAACTCAGTAAATCACAATTTCCAATCCAAGCAATGGTTACAATCAGGATTGGGGTTGTGGATGTCCTAAACTAGTGTTGGACAGGACACATTGGTTTTACTGTCTTAAAGTGTCCAAAACCTTCAACATTGGTAAAAGGTAAAAATTCTATATGTGTAACCATTGTACACATAATAATAACATATATTAATAAATATTTGATACTTTTTATACAAGTTGCTTAAACATATTAAAGGAAAATATAATATAATAGTAAAAGATTAATAACTCTTGAAGCTGCACAATTCATTGAACAACAAAAGTGAATACCTTATATATATGCTTTTAATATTGATAAATTATGTTTTTGCATATGGATAAATAATGTAATATTAAAAATAATAATAAACTTTTTTAATAAATTTAAAACTTGTCTTCGTTTTGTTTCATGTTCAAAAATTAACCTTTAATTTTTCACATTATTTTTTTTTTTTAAATTGTGATATATATTATGAACAAAGGCGTTTCGGGCAGGACGGTTTAAACCATGGATTAATCCATTCCGTCCTTGCCAACTCTGGGTTACAGAGAACAGTCCTTAATTAACAGTGTTCTCTTCCAATAGGTAATCTGTATGTGGATGAATACAGTCAGATATCTTCTCATCTCTCAAATGAGGATATTTCTATTCAAGATGTTGAATTACCACTCAGACCTGATTTAAATGTAGCTGACATTCTCACTGTCAAAGGTTTGTATCTTTTAACAAATTTTTTTCTGACCCACTTCTATCATTTTAAAAAAGTGCTTATTTTCGTTTATTAAAGGAACTTAAAGATGCTTTTTTCATGGAGTGTTTTTAAAAAGTGCTTCATTTTCCCCTTTTTGAAAATGAGATTTTTTTTTTCATCGACGTGTCGATTTATGGCACGTATTATGCAAAAGCTTGGTTTTCGCATTGTTCTATCCAACATTTTCACAATTCATTTGAGCAATCCATTTCGGCATACCATCGGTGAGTCCACATGTGCGTCTCCTGAGGTGAGATTCTTGCGCTATCATATGCAACTCTGCTGCATTTTGCAAGATATTTTCAATTTCAGGCTTCATTTTCCACCCTCTGAAATCGAACCGAAAAATCTATGGATCTTTTTCTGTTGGATTACATAATTAAAAGAAGAGTTCTTGGTCTGAAAATAGTTATTTTATCATGATCATCTAAAATCTTTGAAAATTATTTTGCATTTTGTTAATGTCTATATTAACCTTTCTTTTTTCACGTTATTTTTTTTTAAATTGTGACATAATTAGAATAAAAAGGCTTTGGATAATTTATAACAATTTTGACAGGACAGTTTAAACCCTGGTTTTGGATAACTCCATTTTGTCTTACACCTTGCCAACGCTGGCTATGTTATTACAACATGTGAGTTTGAGTTATCACCATTTGATGAGTTTACTTGGAATGTTTGATTACTGATGATTCCATCGTAATTTCATTTGAAGTGTTCGATTCTTGAAGATTGCTTCACGCCAATGAATGCACCATTTTTCAGCTGTTATTTATCCTTTTTTTTTAGCTCTTTCCTCACGAATTTTTCAAAAAGTCTTATATTCTTTATGCAATGTTATTACGCCAAGTGTGCTTATTGAACTTAAGAAATAACTTTTTGACTCGCTCAATCATGACCCGCTGAATAGGGTAAACCTGGAAAATACAGGAAATTTTAAAATCACCTGAAATAACAGGGAAAATGCAAAGAATTTTGATTGTTTCTTTACAAACTGGGAAAATACAGGGAATTTTATTTATTATATTCTTCTTTTAAAAAATAGTGACCTCTCAAAGAGTAATCTATGGATATTTAACCATGATGTTTCAGCTATACTATTCATTTACTACAGCATTATTTAAGTATGTTCAGCTGTTTTTCCAGCAATTAAAACTAATAAATATAGTAAGCCCACTATAGCTCACACAAGAGCACAGTAATTATTGTGTTGCCTCTTAATATATTGTGTATAATATGTACAGGGAATTTTTTTTCCTGATTTGAGTTGCAATCAACCCTGTCCATTCACAATGATTTTATCGTAAATCGTACCGCTCTTTCGGTATGATTTATTTTTTCCATAATACGATATAATGGTTATCGTATTTTGGTATTCATATTCTTATACGTTTGATTCGACCTAAAAAGAAATTGCAGTTAGAAATAGTTTTGGCTCTCCTATTTTTATGATCTTTAATTTGTATTTTATGTTTCAGGAAATATAACAAATGTAGATGAAAGAAATGCATTCATCTGGCTTCAGTGCAGTTTCTGTGGGAATGAAAATCTAATTCAAAACTATGAGTAAGTTTCTTGATTCACTTTTTTTTATCAACATAAATTTTGTTTTTATCTCGTTTTTGGTATGCAGGGTTGCCACGGGTGACTAAAATGTGACCACCTGAGGCAAATATGGCAACTTTTGTTTGCCTGAAAAAGCTTTTAAAAAAGAGCAACTATTTTCAGTAAAAGGAGACTATTTGGGGAAATTTCTATACTCCTAGCTATGTTTTTTTTTTTTTTTTAAGCATAAATTGGGTTAACAACCTGCGGCCCACGGGAACACAATGAACTTTATTTATTTTCTTTTTTGAAAATAAAAAATTTTGAATTGCAAATTTAAGTCATCACTTTTTGATGCACTCAACTTGCACAGTTGCCATCGTAAGTCTATTTCGTTTTTCAATCGCCTTTTCAATGGTTATTGCTGCGAAATTCTGCAAGATTTTTTTAAAGAATCCTTTTTTAATATGATATTTCGAATTTGAGTAAATACTTTTCGCACACAATAAGTATATATATATATACATATTTGCTTAATCAATTATTGATAAAAGGGAAAAAATTTTAGAAAAAGTATGTTTTTTTTAATGAATTCTAGTAATTAAAAGTATTTAATTTCTGCAAATATACTCATTTTTTTATATAAAAAGGTAAAGTTAGAACACTAATGTTGCTTTAAAAATTGTCATATTTGCAACTGACTTGACAAAACGGATCATGATTATATGACAATTAAGTCATTTAATAAAAATTTTAGTCATATTTTTCTTCTTATTTAGGCAACTATTTTCATGCTTTAGGCTACTAAAATCAAGTATTTAGTTCATTTTCTTCTGTGGCAACCCTTTCTATTATTTGTTTCAACTTTGTGTTCTGATAATTAAATAATATTCCCCAATTTATTCAAATCTATTCAGAAAAAGAAGTGAAACTTTGTGTGCAAAATGTCTGAAGATCATATGTTTGAGTTTCATTCTAATTTGGCTTCAAAATTAAATAAATTTAACGATAATAAATGATGCCGAGTTTAGGAACCCATGATGTGTTTAAGAATAACTTTAAACTTTTTTGTTATCAAACACTTTTACATTAATCGAGTATTTTTTTTTTTTTTTTNTTTTTTTTTTTTTTTTTTTTTTTTTTTTTTTTTTGCTTTCTTTTTAAAAAAATAATTTTGAAGTGAAGAACAGTGAGAAAATTATTAATGTTGCTTTTATGTATGTATTTATGTACAATGTGCCAAAAGAAAACGTTATCCATTCTTCTAATGATCAGATTTTCACTTACAAAAATCCAATCTTAATTGTTCAAAAGTTGTACCTTGACCTCTTCCCCAAGTTAACTCGGGTATGTAAATATTGCAAGAATATATAGGGGATGTATATATTGCAAGCACACCCGAAAGGTCGTGGGTTCGATCCTCGTCAGCCGAAGACTGGTGCACGTTAAATCGGTCGAGTCACAAAGTCTTCCATGTTGCAGTTACAAATCATACTTCTGGGGGTACTGATCGAGGACTTTCCTCGTCTTCCGGATTCAGGTCAAAACTACGAGGCTGCGGAGTCGAACATCGGTAGTCGTAAACCCGACATCGGGTCGGCCGTTCGACGACGGCTATAGAAACATAAAATACAATAGCGTTCTGATTTGCAAGTCTGAGATATTGATTGATTTCATGTGACTGACTTTCAGATCAGTCACTGCAATATATTTTTCATGAGGTAGTTATTTTATTCTAGAGACGTTATATTCTGTGAGGACTGCTGTCGGGTCGTGGAACATCCTTTCCTGAAAGTAAAGATGAACGTCACTGTCTCAAGTGAATCCTTGCAAAATATTCTCTTGAATATTGAGGTAGGCAATAAATGTTCTACTCATGACATCTTTATGTGATTGAGTCTCCTTAATACTTTGTTCTTATTTATTTTTTTATTTTTTTTTTAGCTTTCTTCAGTTACAATCAAAAGAATTTTATCATTGAAGGAGAATTCTTACCAAGTAAGATTTTTTTTATTTGTTTAATTACTTAATATTTAAAAAAACTGTTTTTCTCACGCATTGTGGGTTCATTAGAATTTGTATTGATATTTTAACACCTATTCTCCTCACTGGAAACTTCTCTCTCTCTATGTATGGGTGTGTATATATATATATATATACAGTGAAACCTCCGTTAAGCGGACATTTATGGGATCAAAAAATTTGTCCGTTTATGAGAGTTGTCCGTTTACGGGAAGGGTACCCTAATAACGAAATTTAACACCGTAAATTGTTTTTAGAATATTCTCAAAGATGTAGAAATAATTAAATAATATCTATAACGATACTGTAAATATCTACAAGAATATTTATTTAAACAATAAGAAAGATAAAAAAGAATATATAAAGAAGTTTGATATAAATACATAATTCTGGATGTAGCTACAGATAAATAAATATAATTTTCCTATTAGCATAGATACTCAAGTTAGACATATGATACCAAATAGGAGCGTACTGTCCTCAGTCCGTTTCAATTATTAGGTTCACATCCCCTTACACCTACTTATCATTTGATAGGGAACATGGTTAATACCTTCTTGGAAAATAAACCTCCCATGATTCACAGAAAAAAAAGTAATGCATACCTGTAAGTCATGAGGACCTATGGAGATGATTATTCACAATTGATCAGCTATCAAGTGTCTGAATAAATGTTTCATTTATATAAACACCTCAAAGATTATACTTCTGTTCTCTTTTTTTTACCCCAGTTGTGTTAAATACAGTCTTCAAATTGATAAGAAAATTAAAGAAATTTTCAATGGGGAAGAAGCATTGAGAGAAGTCATTTCAACTTGAGGGGTCTCATAACCTGTGTGGTCCAGGTGAAAACATCAAAAGATGCCGATGTCAGAATTATTTCAGGAGTGCAGTACCATTTTCTCTCCCTTCTTTACAAAGATAAGACAAGGTGACAGGAGAAAGAATCATTTTTCGGTGGTGAAATAGCTTAACAATATTTTTAGTTATGGATAAGGCAAAAAGTTTTATTTACATGCCTTAAAAATGGTGAAAAGTTGCATTTTTTAAGCTTGCAATTTATTTTGAAAAAGTAGTGTCCGATTTGGAGAGATAAAAAACAACGCTTCAGGACCAAAATGACTGTCCGCGTCCGGTTACGGGAGTGTCCGCTTTGCGGAGAATGTTCGTAATGGTTTATTCATAGAAGATTCCCGGGGAATTAAAAATATGTGCGTATTGAGAGGCGTCCGTTTTGCAGGAGTGTCCATAACAGGAGGTTTCACTGTATATATATCCATTATAAAAATATAAAAAAAACATTGAAAATAATAAAGATTAATGAAAAGAAAAGAAGAAAATTTATTCAAATGAAATATTTAGAAAATGTGTTTCAAAAAGCCAGAAAACAAGAAAATGAAACGATATAATCTCTTCGTCAGCTTCCACGATTATATCCGCGGAAAGGAGTGCTTCCTAATATTGCATCAATATAGCTAAAGCAAAATTTATCAATGCTATAGTGTGAGGAGCACTAAAAAATAAATTGAAGCAAAACAGAACACATTAAGTAAAGTGTATATCATGCAAAAAAACAGAAAATAAAATGTAGGGTAAACAAGACAGAAAAGGAAAATATAAAGCTAGTAGCGAATTCAAATGAACTTACATGTACCGAAATCTTTCAAGGATGATTTAAATATGTTTGTAATAAGATTCCCAGATTACAAAATGTGAAAACAAAAGTGCCAATGGAGTTAAAAGTGTAATTAAAAGGATTTAATTTCATGCTGCATTCTTACTGCTGTACTGAAGCATGTTTGATTTGTTAGTTACCAAGGGTTGACCCAAAAATGGATGTGTGCAAGTTAATATTGTACTGGATAATTTAAATAAGTTTATAATTAATAAGGTTGATATTCAATTAGAAAATTTTTCATGTTTTTAGAATATTAACATTTATTTAAAAAAGAGAGAGAAACATGTTTTGACCAGATTTTTAACCGCAGATTCGTCTGAATTGGATTTGCACATGGTAAAAATGTAAAATAACAGAGGTTTTTAGTCAATTTATTAATAATTGCAAATTACATACAATTATCTTAATGATTTTATGTAGAATTTAATTTTTTTAGTTGGGCATCCATTTTTTTTTAAATCAAATTTTGAAAGTGTGTCTGTTTTTACATACTACATATTCTTTTAATTCTATTCATTTGATTAAAAATTATATTTAAATGGATGTTTTAGAAACATTAGAATTCCAAGTGATTAGTTTAGTTATTGTAAAATTAAAATCATTTCCTTTATCGTATAAATCAGGGGTTTCCAACTTACATGAGACCGGGGGCCACAATTAAAAACGCAAATCAAATGGCAGGCCGCAACTTTATCAAACTTTTATGTAGGACTCTTTTATGTTTGAAGGAACATTAAATATTATAAAAATAAAGTATTGAATTACAATTTAAAATAAGAAGTAGATTTTTAAAAATATTTCATTGTTATTAATAATATTTTTAAAAATATTAAATAAATAATAAAAATTCGTGCTACAATAACTTTAATGTGCACCTATGTATTAAACAATTAATGTGCAACAGATATCTAATTGTTAAGATATAAAACTTTAAAAAGGTTGGTATTAAAACTTAAATAGTAGCACACGAAATGTTTAATGAGAAAATTGAGGTTTGTCTGCTGTAACTACCAGAGAATAGATATTTACATATTAAATTTAAAATTTACGAATGTGTGTGTTAATATTTTTGTCCAAAATGAGTGGTTTCAAAAAGTTAAATTGGAGAATTTCTTAGAGAAAATTTCTGATACGCAAATGCTAAATTATATTCACAAAATACAAAAAAAATGAAATAAAAAAGAGCAACATACACGATTATCTTTGTATTTGAATAAATGTTTTCTTGCATGCAAAACCTGAGAAATAAATTTTTCTGCACCGTTGGTATGTTAAATTTTACAGAAAGGAAGAAATTAGGTTTTTATCAACGAGAAAAGTATTTTAAACCCATATAGATTTTTACGAAAATTGTTCGCAAAAAAAATGACAATTATTATATTTTAGTTCGCAGGCCAAGGCTTTGCTGGCCGGATGCCGCCTCCGGGCCGCCAGTTGGAAACCCCTGGTATAAATCAACAATGTAGATATTTTCTTTTTTAATACCCAAATCAAAAAAATTAATATTATCATCATGATTACGAAGCAAGTTTATCTTCGTCTTTATTCTGCTATATGTATATATACACACACATTTATATACATTAATATTACTTTTATTCCAAATTACAAATTGGAATTAAAATGTTAAGACTCTGTCATTAAAAAATACAAGATTAATAAGAACATATAGAAACACCTAGAAAATACTTAAAATTTCAAGTTTCAAAACTATTTATAAGAAAATAAAGGCAAAAACAATAATAAACACAATGCATAAATCAAAACAACAAAAATCCAGCATAATTAATTGAAATTAACAAATAAACAGTATTTCTATTAGGCTAAAATACAACAAATTCTTCGTTGCTATGGAACGAAAAAAAAATTTCATTCCGCAAGCATTTGATTCTTCTGCAAATCAACAATTTATATTCCAACAAAATTTTCTCAAAATTCAAAATCTAGTTAACGAGACATTTCTCGGAGTTCCCCGCTGATCTGAAATTTGAATTTTGTTGGCTAAATTCTCGTTAACCATGCCAGCACCCTCTTTTTTCTTCTTCCTAAGTTCTTATTTTTATTTGTTAAAGAAAAATGCAGCTTCAGATAAACTTGGAGAAAAGAAATTCCAGAATAACTTTGACTAAAATTAAGGAAAAACTGAAGTAAACTCAAAAGTGTAAAATTTCTAATCTAAAAATATAATTTCGAAATTGTAAATATCTGAAAGATTGCTCGCTAGTAAAAATGGCGTTTTTCTTATTTTTTAAAAACTTATATTTTAATGAGTAGCAATTTTTGTTGCAAATTCCAATTTTTAACAGAATAATTATTTAAACAATGTGATGTATACACCCTTTTTTTTTATTTGACTACGATTTGATCGAATTAATTTTTCATATATTGCGACATTGATATTTCGAATCTTACATTTCATTAATTATTTTTCAACACACTCGATACTTTTGTAAATCCGTGGTAAGATATTTTTCTTTCTTTTTTTTTCCTCGATTGCAGTTAATGTGATGCATTTTCTCACGGTTTTTGAAATTCCAATATTATTTCGACATAGAAAATTCAAATCGCGCTTTTGAGTAACCCCTTTTTGATGCGCTTACCATCATAAATCCATACAGTATTTTGAGCGTTTTATCACCTATTATTGCCAATTTTCTCTGTGTTTTTTTTTTTTTTTTTAATCCCTATACTTTTTATAGATTATTATTAGACACTCAAAATATAAATTTTGCATTTGTTTCACTTTATAACGCGACAATACCACAGCTTTTTCTAACGACTTTTTTCACAGTTATTGCAAGTTTTACTGATTACCATCCCCCTTTTTTTTTTGAAAAAATGTTTTTAAATCCCTAAATTTTTATACTAATAAGAAACGAGAAATTCCGATCACAAATACTTTTAGACATACTTAAGTTGCACTAAAATCGTGCAGCGTTCTGATCAGTTCTTTTCCCTCATGTTATTTTAAAATCCTCATATTATTATGATACAAAAAATTCAAATAGGGCACCTGAGTATTCACTATTTAACAGGGTTGCCACTCCACAGGGAAAACCTGAAAAATACAGGGAATTTAAAGAATCACCAAAATTTGTTGGGAAAATGTGAGGAATTTTGTTTTTCATTTTTGTCTTTTAAACAATAGTAACTTCTCAAAGGGTAATCTATGGCATATTTAAGGAAGATATTTCAGCTATATTAAACTATTTCATTTATTATAGCATCATTTAGGTATGTTCAGCTGCTCCTTTTTTACTCTAAGTTTTTCCATCAATTAAAAGTAGTATAGTTAGCCCAATATAGCTCATGCAAGAGCACAGTAATTCTTTCCTCTGTGTATAATATATACATTGTATAATAATATAATTGTATAATAATAATTGTGTATAATAATACATTGTGTATAATATATACAGGGAATATTTTTTTTATCCAGATTTGAGTGGCAACCCTGTTAACGTCATAATTCTTTCTTTTTTTCAATTAACTTTCCTGGAGTTATCGCTACTAAATTCTACATTTTTTTTTTTAAATCTCTATTTTTAATACGAAATTATTTACTACAACACTCGAAACGTAAATTGATTGAACTCCTTCTTGTCGCATCCCATTCTTGGGATTTTGTCGTAAAGGCCTGTGTCAGTTATTGCTATATATTTTCCCTTTTCAAGAAAACTAAATTTTATCATAAAATTAACATTTTATTCAGCTTGTAATATTGAAAACTTGATTAAAAGTGGCAAGATACGATAATTTTTTTGAATTTAATCATTTAACAAAATTAATGGGTTTTTATATATTTCCGGGTATAATAGATACTTAGAATAGTTAAGATTGATTTTAAAGGCAAGAAAAAGTTTTACATGCCTATAATTTTGATATTCCGCCAAAAAAAAATATTAGGGGGACCGAAAATGAATGTCGCTCCAGTGCATTTGATATTTGTTATCAAGATTTTATTTTTAATTAATGTATTCACCCTCGTTAACAACAACATTTCGATGCTGAATCGAAAGTGATCGAAAATAAGGAGTCTGTTTTTGAGACTAACGAACATTTAATGCACCGAAACGACATTAAATTCCGGTGCCCCTCATACCTTGTCCATGACTTCCATGAGAAAAAAAAATTTCATTTTATTTTGGTAAATTTTCATTCTCAATCCATCAGATAATGCAACCCGTAAGTCGTTACTTTCTAAGTTAGATAACAGGAACTCTAGTATGTCCCAATGTTTGATCCAGGAGTTTCCTTGTCTTTTGGGTTTGATTCAAAATCGCATGGCTGTGAAGTTGAACTCAAAATTAGCTGTTCAATTAGTTATAGTTAGTTATTAGTTAGCTATTCAATTCAGTTATAAAATAAAATTTAAAAAATTATATCCTTGCTGTAAAATTTTTTTTTCATTTCTTTTTGCGACTTCAAAATTTATGGTGGTTTGTATATGGTATTTGTTTACATATAGAACGGAAGCAGTTGTACATCCTAGATTAGATAATACACTATCTGGCCAAAATTATCCGAACACATGTGTCCTATCCGGACACACGGTTGTTATGGTGTTGGAAGCATAATGGTGTGGGGGTGTCTCTCGCGGTTTGGGTCCGTTAGTTCCTGTGATTGGAACCATGAACTCTGAGATGTATGCCCAAGTCAAAATTTTTGATGGTTTTCCATTGATGGACGAACATATTCTTGAGGGTAACCATTAATAATTCCATCACAAACCATTATATTTTTCGATGGTAACCAACATAACTAAACTGTCACCCCAAAGTAGGAATTCAGACTGATTTATGATGGTCCAACATAAGAATAGCAACTTACTTTGATGGTTTATTTGTGTTGAACCATCAGAAATTTCCATCATAATTTCTTAGAAATCAAATGTTGGAACGATCATGACCCACCATCACCCCAATGTAGGAATTCGGATTGATTTATGATGGTCCAACATTGAAAAAAAAAAAAACATTTTCGCTGGTATATATTTCGCTGGTATTGCTGAACCATCAAGAATTCCCATTAAACCATCACGGAAATGTATAGTTGGAGCCATCACGGATCATCTTGAATTGTTGGTCCATGAGAGTCAATCTTCTCTTGATGGTTAACCATCATAGTATCAAAGTGGCACTTTCCATCATGGAATGATGGAAGTTTATCGGCATATCAAAAACCATGAATTCATATTTTCATCCATGAACCATGATTTATGATGGTCCATCATAAGAAAAAAAAAACAAATATTTTTGATTGTATAGTCCTGAGAATCAAAAAGAATTTGTGTATAGTTGAAACCATCATGGACCATCACTGATAATTATGGGCTGTTTTTGTCCATGAGAATCAAACTTCTCTCGATGGTTAGCCATCAAGAGAATCACACTTCTCATGATGGTCAATCATTGTAGTATTAAAGTGCCATTTTCCATCATGGAGTGATGAAAGTTTGTTGGTATATCAATAACCAAGGACAAATAATGGATGATGGTGATCATCATGAATCGCACTGAAACATACTTAAACCATCAAAAATTGTGGTGTGAACAATGCTGCTCTTCCAAATCTATGGTAACGTTTAGGGCCCATTTCTCTTCCAGCATTCACACGTCAAGGCTTGCACAGGGTGTTCAAAAGGGCCTTCTCGGGAGCTCCGATCCCATAGACAAGGTATATCTGCTCAACTGGAAAGTCATGAATCTCGGTATTGAACCAAATTTGTCATGATTTTAACTATTTTTTTTTAAAAAATCATGGAAATTCATGGGTTTAGGTCGCCGAAAAATCTAATAATTAAAATGAAATCCCTCTCCCCCACGCACGCAATTTCATGGTGTTTCAAATATCTGAATTTGTATCAAAATCCCCACTCGTACTCATATTTTTAAAAATAATATATATAAAATGTTTTTAACATATATAAAACGTTTTTATCATGTTCTTTGAAAATGGTGGTGTTCTTTCAAAAAATGAAAGTAAAAATGTCATTTCTAAAGTGAATTATCTTTTAAACTTTTGTGATTTCGGAATTTTTGTTATTTTTATTTTAACAATTTCAAGTTCTAGCTGAAGCAAGCCAGTCGGTGGCGAATTTTTTTTTTATTCGATTTAAAAATTCTTCATTGCACTTTCTATTTTCGCTTTTTTAAAATCCAATATCGCTATTCTTGTAAGAAGTAAGTTTTTTTTTTTCTTCTCGAATTAGTTGCTCTAAAGGTGTCTGCATTAGAAAGTAATTATAAATGTTAGTTCAAAAAGTTATGTTAAATATTAAACATGTATGATATATAAATTGCAGGGTGCATAGTGTTTTTAAAAGTGCTTATTTTCGGTTTTTAAAAGTCCTTAAAGGTGCTTTTTTCATTGGATGTTTTTAAAAAGTGCTCCTTTTTCAAAATGAGATTTTTCCTATACCATGTTGATTTTTGCTTCGAATTCTGCAAAACGACACAGTTCGCATTGTTCTATTGAAAGTTTTCACAATTAATTCAACCCCAATCTATTTCGGCGTATTGTCAGTCCGTAGCCTATGAAAAACGCCATTCATTTTACATGATTCAAAATATCATAATTTTTGACAATTGTCAAAAACAATGCCAAATAGTTTTTTTTTTTTTTTTTTTTTTTTTTTTTTTTTTTTCATGATGGTTAAAACAAAATAAAACCGTCAATTGTCAAAAACTTTCCAACTTTGCCTAATTATGATATTTTTTAAAGTGCTTAAATATATTTTTGAGTACTTGAAAAGTGCTTAAAAGGTGCTTTTTTTTGGTGAATAATTTGACTAAGCTCCCTGAATTGGTATAGATTTTTTGCTCATAAAATTTTCAGGGTTTTTCACACTCTTTGACAAACACCCCTTCGTCTTATACACTAAGTGTATAAGACGAATAAGAGAAATAAAATCAATCTCTGTGTAATTTTATTTTCCATTGCAAGTCTAGTGATGGCTCAATTCCATTTATTTTGTTGTTTCAGCCTCAGTGTAATGTGTCTGATGTACTGGGCAAAGAAATAGGACCACTACTCTGCTATGTTAAGGACACCTCTCCTACAATATTCTATTTAATTGAAGTTGAAGACTACCATTGACTCAAATGTATTCATTCACATTATGTATCATCACACGTTAATAAAACCTGCCATTTTCATCAATGAAATATTCAGATGTATTATAATAATCCCAGTAACCGTACGGCAATCCTTGTGTCAGAATTTTCTTTTTAGTGACACGAAAATGTTTGTACTAAAAACCTTTTTTCAATAAATCAAAACTATTGCAGTTTCAAACCTTTCATCCTGAAAGGATTAAAAATTATTCTTTAAAGCTTTTTTAAAAAGGATTAAAAGGCTTGGTTTCTTAGGACAGGACGCCGTCAGCTGGAAATCAGCGCTAACCTCTGATTGGTTTATTTGTGAGTTTGATAGTATACGTCATCGAACGCTCATCTTGACTGCCGTCCAACTCAACTGCAGTTGGATTACGACGTAACGTTAACCACTGAAGCAATGGCGGACAACATCCAACTGCACATTGAAATCAGCCAAGATTTTGATTTTGACATTAAACATAGCTTCTTCATTAAACATAGCACTCTTCATTTAGCTCAGCTATAATGTGTTTTTATGGGACAAAGTCATTATTTGTTCTCTAAAACACTGGTCTACAATAACAAAATCAATACAAATTCAAAATAAATATTTGTTTACGTTATTAACGCATGCGCAAATGGAGATAATGTCTGCGTTGGACCGACTGCTCACGCTGAGCTAACAAAAAAGTATTTTTTTGGCGTCAG